GACACATTCCAGAAGTTGATCCAAACCTACTTAAATGCATCCTTTTGCTTATGCATCACACATGCAAAGCTCTATTTGGTTCAGAACAATTCATGACATATAATTTACTCACAGTATAGTGGGCTAATGCTGCACCTAAAGAAATAGACTGCCAAAATGGGAGTTGATATTGAATCTGTGGACAAGAAAAGCTGTGTGCTAAGAAAAATGCCAATCATTTATACTTGACAGGTAAGAAATCATGCATCATCTGTGAATTAAATGTACTATGCAAGGGTATAGTAGAAGCACAGACTCATGTAACCATCTCAGCACATGCTCTCACTATTGAAGCACAAGAAACTGTCCCCTATGCAGCCAATCATCATTCAAGTTAATGGATGGCAGATGAAACATAACATAAGAAGAGAGTATTGCATATGTTGTGGGCATCCATCCAGCAAGCACACTAAAACTGCATAGTTAATACAGTAGATAGCAAAAGGAGAAAGATGCACAAACAAGCAGTCAGTCCCTTCTTCCATTATTCCAAACACTGTAACAGTTAAATGTGATACATAGAAAGTGGGACAAAATGGAGTAAACTCAATAAATGCATGCTCTCTCAGGGATATGTAGACACTACACCAAACCCTAACCTTTACTGGAATGATTTGTTGCCTTAGAACACTCAAATCTCCTTCTATCTCAGTAGCTCTTAATGATGTTGTTTTGGAATGGTCATCAGCTGAATCTGAGGAGGCAATATTATGATTAGAAATGACTACACCAAACCCTAACCTTTACTTGGATGATTTGTTGCTTTAGAACACTCAAATCTCCTTCTATCTCAGTAGGTCTTAATGATGTTGTTTTGGAATGGTCATCAGCTGAATCTGAGGAGGGAATATTATGATTAGAAATGAGCCATTGGGTTACAAGTCTTGTCCAAGAAAAAATATTCAAGGAGGTGTCATAGCTAAAATTAATGTTGTCCACTACCTACCTTGCACATCTAATAAATGGATGAGACACCATAGTACCTACAGCTTTTCTTTTTGAGACACCATATCAAGCAAAAATATAATGCAGAATTTATGGCTTTTTTACTCCAACATAACTTTAAAGGAATGGTGGTATCAAAGATTGATTTTTCTTCACCAGAGTGATTATACTTGTGGTGATAACTGATGGCATCAAATGGTATCACTCAAAACTCTAATAATGGCAATGGTTGCACTAATAATTATAATTCTTACCTAATTCTGTCCACACATATTGTAGCGTTACTCCAACTACAATACATCAATAAAAAAAAAAGATCAATGAACTTAGATTTTTTTTTTCTTTTTTTCATTTTGTATACGAGTGATTCGAGAGTATATTTATTTTTCGATAGTATGATTTTATCGTTGGAGATATGTGAAGGTATAAGACTTTTGAGACGGAGTGAATTTGATAATTATTCCTCTATTTTTTTATTATCTTTTGATTATTATTATTATTTTCTTTATATTTTCTAGTCTTTGTCATAAAATAAAAGTAAAAAATTTATTTCTTCTCCTCTTACATTAATTTGGTATCAAAGTTTTTGGTTTACTCAAAATATTTTATCATCAAAGTCGATCAATATCTTAATTATATGAACTCCGGATAAGTGGAGCCAATTAATCTATCTTTTATTAAGTAAAATTAAATAATATTAATATATTTTTAATATATAATAAATTATCATATATCAATATCTACCCAGGAGAAAAAGGAGTAAAGATGACAGAAATCAAGTCAGATTTAATTTGAATCTTCAAAATGAAAATAAGAGATATTACCTTTTTAAAAATATAAAAAATTATCATATATTTGATTTGATATAATTATAATTTTATTTTATTTCTATATTTTTCTTCTTATTCTTGTACTTGAGCTATAAAACAAGATAGATGAATATTACCTTTTAAAAAAAATTTATGTATTTGATTGATATAATTATAATTTATTTTATTTTTTATATTTTTCATCTTATTCTTATACTTGAGTTTATAAAACAAGATCTATATTTTTTATTCTCACACTTGAGCCTATAAAATAAGAATGATAGTTCTTGTTTGTGAGTGATGTAAGATCATATTTATTTTTTAATGACATGATTCGAAAATGCCATTCCCGAGTTTGCTCCTTGAGCTATAACTCCATTTATTTGTATATTATATTTTTAGTTGTTATTATTCTCTTCCCATCTTTCTAGTTGGCAATAAAAAAGATGCAATCCAACCTACCACAAGTCCTCCATGTCACATCTCCGAAACTTGTTTCCTAGTAGGATCAAACATCAGTTCATAAGCAAGATTAACTGGATGAGAAGTTCATGGTGGAGTTCTCCTCATTGAAGTACTGTTGCATGAACACTCGTCAGTCTCAAAGCCACCTTTATTACCCACGGAGGCATGCAAAGCACATACAGACTCAGAAGCAGTGGGTGCACAGCATTCGGGCATATGTCATCTCAGGGGCACTTGGGACCGCCTCTCTTCGTCTTCCAGTTGTTGTAGCAGGGGCAGACTTGCTTGTTGCCATACGTCCCGGGCGGCACGCAGAGGCACTTGGCGCAGCACTTCTGGCAGAAGAACATGCAGGGCTTCTTGTAGGCGGTGGCGGAGCACCGACCGGCGCAGCGGCCCGAGCATTCTGCGGCATTAGTGACAGAAATGATTTGGCATTGCAAGTAGGCTGAAGCTGGAATCAAGAAGGGGAGACTCTTCCGTACCTTGAGGTTGGAGGCTCCCTGGTGTGGCTCCATACTGCAATCAGTTCAAGGCTGTCCAAGTTTAGTATGCACCCATTCACTGGAACAACAGCAATGGCAGTGATTGGACCATAGATTAACAGAAATGTTTGGCTTTACCATGGGGAATTTGATCGGCTGAGGAGTTGGGCCGAGAGGATTTCCCGGTTGGGCAGTGGGAGCCAGAGAAATCCTACCCTGCACCACCAATAAGAACCTTCGCGTCACCACCTGTAAACTACTGCAGCTATGTTTCAAGTGTCAATCAACTTCTTTAAGTGACAGGTTAATCATGTCAATGGTGTTTCGTTTTTGATCCTTAGCAGACCCAAAAGATTCACTGTCATGTTTTCATGTTGAACGACCATTACAGTATCCACCAAAACAATCATAAACCTAAAACGTGTGTATGTGTGTGTGTGTGTGTGTGAGAGAGAGAGAGAGAGAGAGAGAGAGGGAAAGACCTGGGCTTGGATGACCAAACAATGCAGCACCACCATGCATAGAAGAATGGCCACTCTGTTTTCCACTGTCATGGCTACAAGCTAGTAGAGATGACAAGGGAAAGTGATAAGGTAGCCTCCTCCTTCAGGTTGCAGGAGTTGGAAGTTGGGGCTGGCTTATATAGGCTGTTGGACCTGGCTGTATATAATTAACAAGCAGAGACAATCAAATTTGAGATGATCGAGCTAAATGTGTTTTTGTCTTGTGGCCATCATGGCAGTCAGTCCCTATTCCCATGTGAAATGCAAATTGTGGCCATGTCACTCTTCATTCTTTATTGTTCTTGTCACTGTCTGTTCCCTTCGATTCATTCTTTTTGATGAATGAATGGACTCCCTCTTAGACTCTGTTTTTTTTATCTTTGTTTCCGATCCCACAATTCCAAATCTGCTGTAATTAAGTCCTTCATATGATGAAGTGTGCCAGGCCAAGGTTTAGTATCTTCCTGGCTTGTATCACAACTCCAGTTCACAAGACCATCTGCATCAAACAAGTGAGGAATCAATGTATGTCATACAGAGAGAGAGAGAGAGAAAGAGAGAGAGAGAGAGTAAATGCTCTCCGGTTTAGAATGAGACACAATTCATCATCAGTTAATCAGGAAAACCCAAACCCAAGACAAAAAGACAAGTGGTACTTCAGAACACTCCAAGAGATCACCAGCCACATGGTCTCATCGTCCATGTGGAGGAGCAGCAGCAGCAGCCGGAGCAAGTGGGGGAAGCCCTCACATGAAAGCTTCACATGCCTCCAATCTACACTCCATAGCTTTCCTCCCTTGTACATGACCTGTGAAAACATGTAAGCAGAGGACATGGACACTCTGTGTCTCAAATCCTCTCGTGAACCTTGGAATCTTCCTCTGCTTGGGAAGATGCTGCTCGTGTCCTCTTCCTCTCGCCATATGGAGGTTTTTGGTACTTGAATCCCAAGGTGAAGTGAATGGGGAAGCCATTGGGGTTAGGGTGGAGTGGGGAGGAGGGAGTACAGCACAGAGTTTGGAGCCACACACAGTACCATATTTTGCCGACCGGCGTTGTTTGTAGCGGCTCGTGACCATGTTTTGTTTTGGAGGGTGTTGGTTGCGATCGTTGCTTCCCCCCCGGTATGACTACAAGCCAAACTTGTGCAAGCCGAGCAAGCTAGCAAATGGGGTTGGCCACAACCCCTTTGCTTAGACTCATCATCATCCACTATGATCCTATCAATTTTGATCAATTGCAACAACAATAAGAATCAACGTTTGTGCTTTAATTTTTGAGTTAAAAGTCATATTTTATGATCCTGGTAATCATCTAGTGAAGATTCTTGAATCATGATGCCTCGAGCATCGATATAGTCACTATGAATTATTGATGCCAATTAGTATTTCAACATCCATGGCTAAACTTCAATTTAGAGAGATGAAAACTTTGTTTAGAAGAATATATAGATTTTATTTGGAAATGTGACCAGATACAAATCCATAACTGAGCAGGATACCTAATCTGTTATCATGATCCCAGATGAGCTATGTTATATCTATGTAACATAGAAATTGCCAGATCAAAGACTTGGCATGTCAATTGCACTATGTCTAACAAGATACTTGCATTTAAGAATGTGGTCAAGGTAACATAATCCAAAGCCAACCTCAAAGAACCCATTCAGGACTTGGCCAAATACCCACTGTGGAAGAAAAGAATAGAAAATTATTCACACAATCAGAGACTGGTAGAAAATGCCTGCTTTAGAATGTATAAAATACCAAATTATTCCACCTTGAGAGCAATAAAGATCACAAAAGCACCTTCATATAGGTTAAAGGGGGAATTAACAAAATTATGACACAACCATCGACAAATATAAAGCTTGTAGCTATGTGATGGAACTTAAATTTCCAAAGTAAATGGAGTCATCAAGACAAAAAACTTCCTGATGCAGGTCATACAAAAAAGCGAAGAGATCAATACACAATGCCATGGGCTGGCGTATCATTTTGCTTGAGGGTGCGAGGCAATGAAGTCTACAGCAACATTTATCGAGTCAATCTTGTCTGCTTCGTTATCAGGAATCTCAAACCCAAATTCCTCCTCCAGAGCCATCACAATCTCTACAGTGTCCAAACTGTCAAGACCAAGGTCCTTCTGAAAATGAGCATTTGGTGTGACCTACACAGACCAGTATACAAAAGAAATCGAGACAGGATTCCCAGTCAAAAAAGGCTGAAATTTATTATAATCAATAGGAAACTAAATTTTATAGGTATGCCATCATCAGCAGTGGCATTGGAAGTATGATATAAGTTGCCAAAGGTGGCAACTCATGCACGACCAAGGCATTATGGCATAGATCTCCATGAATGTCTGGGAAGATGAAGATCGTTGGAAAGTCATGTTAGATTGGTTTTGCTCCTATGCCAAATTATTGGTAAGTGATGCCTCTAACAAACACTTATCCAGTTACAACTAGGAAAAAGAGCTTAAACATATTATCGACTAGGTTAATTTTATTGCAAAGGTCAAGAAGAAAACAACCAACAATAAGCCCTTAGGTTTACAACCCGATCATATATATATCTACAGGGTTTTGGTAGAAAATATTGTCAGACTTCAAGAACTTTGATAATAGATATACTACCTATAACTTATGTACACACATATTAAAACTCTATGACACTTACTAAAGTTAAAAAAAAAGGACTATTTTGACCAATTAAATCAGCTATAAAAAGTAATAATAAAAACCAATAAGCAGACGACAAAGACATTTTTTTAGAAAAATCTTTACCATTACTACTAGAAACTAGTGATGAAACTCGATTAAGTCCTCTTCTTAACTAACCTTAATACGAGGGAGGGTCTTGAGAAAGTTCTTTTACACAACCTTCCACCTACGATTGAGTTGCCCGTACTCTTTCAAAGGTAACTTGGACTCTTTATCTGTATTCAGAACCACGTAGGACGGTAGGAGTCTTCAACTACAGGTTTGTTCTACCAACCTAGTTAGATATTCTCATTTGATACTTGTTTGTTCTTTTTTTATTCTTAGTCAAGATGTTGAAAGGCTCTCTTACCTATCTAAGGCTGAACCATGCTTCTTAGACCCAAACTTGGCTCCTTTTAATGGTGTTGCACAAGTCCTCGTTACGCCCAGGGTGATGGAAGAGGATTTGGGCTCACGTCATAATTGATATAAAGCTTAGGTTTTGGTCAGTGCAAATTGATATAGAAGCTTCAGTTTTTAGATGGTTTGGCAGCAGAAGGTTTAAGCACCATAAAATCTTATTCACGCCTAATAGTAACTCATCGAACCACAGAGAGGAAAGTCAATAAAAACATATGCTCATCATGTGTGAACGAGAACATGCCAACTAAATCCTAGTGTAAATGAAGGGTGGGATTCATGGCTGCTGCAATATAAGCCAATCGACAACGTAATTCACCAGGATAAAGATCGAGGAAACTAAAGGATAAAGATGGAGAGATTAGAGCTCCCATCCTACATAAAGATAATGACAGCAGAATTGGGTCTTAAAATTGATTGCAGGAGACTTTATCGAAGAAGAACGATCAAAATGATCCTCACACAATGCAATATTAGACATCAGGCTCACATGCATCGGTACAAACAACCATCCAATTCAAGCTCCAATTAACAATCAAACCAATAATAACGAAGATTACCATCAGCAGATACCCTAAATAGATGAACGGCGCAATAGAATTCGTCACCAGGGGATCTCATAGGCAGAAGACCTAACGTAGAACATAGGATTCGAATCAAACTTGGAAAGAAGAGGTATTTGATAGTGTACCTTGGAGGGGTCGACCTTCTGGAAATTCTTGACGACGGTGACGATCCGATCGGCGACCTCAGACTTGTCGAGGAAGGAGCCCATCACCTCGTTGGAGAATCGGCGGCAGAAAATATGAACGAACGAGAGGGTCACCGCCGGCGCCGCCGGGGATTCCACTCTCACCCTCAAGTGACTCAGGAGAGCGCTTCTCACAGCCGCCATTGCCGCCATGGAGAGGACGAGAGAACGATGCAATCTGGGGGTGGCAGAAACGAACGGGGGCGACTAGGGTTAATGAGAATGATTTTACAGATACACCCTCGACATATGAAATATTTGCTCGGAGCGAACTCAACCATGGTTAACCGTCACGATCTTGTGGTTAACCGCCACACGCTCTAACTAACCGAGTTATTCCAGTTTCATGTTATATGTTTCTTATGTTATATATTTTCTGAGTCAATTGAATTTTTGAGTCAACTCACGCGTCGAACTAATTGACCGATTTAGGAGAAGAAGTCAAATCGAATTGTTTATCATCCATCATGAAATTACCAGAATGCCGACCAGTTTTGGTTGCTTATGGCATACGATGATCGTGGAGGAGAGCGGAAGGAAGAAGGGGAAAGAAGACCTCCGAGCCGTCATCTTGGAATCTGGGAGCAGCCAAACGCCAGGCGGATAGACTAAGCTCGTCTTGACTTTTTGTCGTCATAGATCTGAGAGAAGAGTGTCTCTGACAAAACCTTCACATAAGAGCGCAGGGGCATGTTTGTGATCGACACAGGCAATTAGAGAGAGAAATGGTAACCAGAGGTGCTCTCTCCATCGATGGCTTTGCGTTGGTGGTTTCGGTCCTCGTGGCAGTTCCAACAGGTTCTCTCTCCCCCCCTCTCTCGTCTGTAGAAAAGGAAAGGAGAAAAGTATTTATCAGAAATATATTACTTGATCAGAATGCAACTTTGATGGAATTGCTTGAATGAGAGTTTGTCTGATTCCAAACCCTACTCCATGTCCACTCTGTATGACCATCTTCTTCTACATCAGATACCAATCTTCCAGTCAACTCCACTTCAGGAGAGCAATCAATCGGTGTCTGCTATGGGATGCTTGGAGACAACCTCCCTCCGCCCAGCGAGGTGGTAAGTCTCTACAGATCAAACAACATCGGGAGGATGAGGCTTTACAGTCCAAACCAAGCTGCTCTGCAAGCTCTCAGGAACTCCAACATCCAGGTCCTCATGGGCGTTCCCAATGAAGACCTCCAATCGCTGGCCTCCGATCCTTCTACGGCAAGTGATTGGGTCCAGAGCAACGTAGTCGCCAACTGGCCCAGCGTCACCTTCCGATACATAGCAGTGGGGAACGAGGTGATCCCGGGAGATCTGGCACGCTACTATGTCCTTCCTGCCATGCGCAACATCCAGAGCGCACTCTCCTCGGTTGGCCTGCAGGACCAGATCAAAGTCTCGACCGCAGTCAGCACAGGTGTCCTTGGATCATCTTATCCTCCCTCCGCCGGCGCCTTCTCTTCTGCTGCGAAGACGTACCTGAGTCCCATACTGCAGTTCCTGGCGAGCAATGCAGCTCCACTCTTCGTCAACGTGTATCCTTACTTCACCTACGCAGATAACCCGAGCGAGGTCTCACTTTCCTCTGCCTTGTTCACTGCTCCCGGTGTTGTAGTGCAGGACGGGCAGTTCGGCTACCGGAACCTCTTCGATGCGATCGTCGACGCAGTCCATGCAGCTATAGAGGTGGAAGGGTCGGATGTGGCGATCGTCGTGTCTGAGAGCGGCTGGCCGTCGGCAGGTGGAACTGCAGCATCTGACAGTAATGCGAAGACGTACAACCAGAATTTGATCAGGCATGTTGGAGGAGGAACGCCGAGGAGATCGGGAAGGGCGATAGAGACTTACTTATATGAGATGTTTGATGAGAACCAGAAAGCTTCAGGGATTGAACAGAAGTTTGGCATGTTTCATCCCAATAAGCAACCTGTTTACCCTATTAGCTTCAGCTAAATCTATGCCGAGGTTGATGAAGGTGTTCCTGTACATCAACAAAGTAGCAAGGCAGAGTGAATGGAGAATTCTGGTTTTGGAGAAAGCTAAACAATAAATATTCATCATTGACAACATTAGAATTAGGTTCCAATAATATATTGCTCGTATTCTCCTTCCCAAATTTGACTTCCTGTCTCTGGCTTTCAACTAGCACAACCAGCTACACCTATAATACAGAAAAAAAAACATTGGCCACAAGGAGGAGTAGAAACCAGTTTAAGCTTGTGTGATCGGTAGCTATCTCTCATTTTCCCCAGAGTTTTGAACAAGAACAAGGAGAATATAATGAAGCTTGTTTCTGAGAATTGTTACCACTTTCCAAATAGCTACATCCATGCAGTTGAAGAGAAAGCAGACTGTATCTCAGTTGTTATTTTATCAGACTCATTAAATTCTCTATACATAATGAGGGTTTTTCATAGGACCCAAGTGAAACCTATGAAGTGAGTTCAGATTTGCTCTACTGCTGGTGCAGGTGACTCTACTGGTGCATAACAGCCTTTAGAATCTCTGAGAAGATAACAAATAAGGCACCTCCAGTGACAATGATTAGTGTAGATCTGCCTCCAGGTACCAGCGGGGGAGTAATTGGGGTTAGAGATGACTTTGAGTATCTCTCCGACCAAGACATTGCAGCAGGAAGCACTCCAAAGAGCACCAGAACTGGATGTAGAACAGACACTTGAAGCAGTATCTTCATTATGAATAATGCATGAGTGAATGAATAATTAGTGCTTTAGAAACCTTGTCAACATCTAAAAATGCATGAACATAGACCACTGTCAAAATCCTGGAGTAAATGTATGCCGATTACAAGACTTTAACATGATAGAAATTGCATCACAGTTTATAGGTTAGATATAAGAAGGATCCCTCAGTGAGTTGCAACAATTATAACCTAGTGTCCTTCCCAAGCACCTCCAGTTTCTTTTATATTTTTGTCATTTGATTCCCAAGATGTCAGAAAAGAGAAAAAAACAGGTTATTGGTCTAAAATTAAGGAGTCTTCCTTGAGTAACTCTAGCTAAAACTGAAATTTGCCTGTTTATTCTTGTTTTTTTTCTTTTTTTTTTGTTTTCTTATCCTCATTCAACATTTCTTTTGTATATTTCATGCAGGTTTTAGGAAACAGAGAACCTGATGGAAATAACTAACACGAGGAAATTTTTTTCTTCAAGAAAGAAAATGTGTCTTTGATGAAAGATAAACTTCCTTGCATGCTTATTGCTTAGATCAACTCCAGAAAGTTGAAATAGTAGTTGCATGAGCCTTTAGTTGAAGTCTGACACACAGATTTAGCTGAAGTCTGAGAACTTATTGGAGAATCAAATGGCTAAAAAAAGGCTGATGGACTATAATTCTAAATTTTTCCACTGGAACTAGGATTTATGCATTGCATTGTCGATGTTATACTTGTACTTGCAACACTTAAAGAAAAAAAATACAGACAGTTTACCTCCATATGTTCCTGCGAAGTCCAAAGCTTTAAAAAATATCTCTGGATCAAGCAATGACAGCACCAGTGGTGAGTTAGAAAGTATGCCAAGGGTTTACTCTGGCCACTAGGTAGTTTAAGCACTGCAAGTTTCCTGGTAGTGGCAGAAAGAAATGGCGGTTGTTTATTATGATGACAGCTCTTGACAAGTGATGTAAAATATCTGAGATCTCTTGCTACCCAATTTATGACTACATAAAGAATGGATGAAGGTCAGAGTATCTACTTACAGTCGGAAACAAAGTCAGAAAGTCCAAGAACAAATCCAATGTATGATGTGGCTATTGCAAAAAATGAGAACACCTCAACAATCGGCTGTACAACACCATTTTAAGTTAAATTGTTTTCAGTCTCATACTTATTTTTGTAATACTCAGACAAAGTGATTGTAGAATAATAAGGGGACCTTATTCCAACTATTCCATTTTCATAATGTAGCTGCTGCAGTGGGTCGGTGAGGGCACCAGTTGTATCTAGATTTGGAATGGTCCCAAGAATTACAGCATCCCAAATAAGAAACAGAACAAGGGGAATAGCTGTGCCAAGAACAACTGCAGTCCTGTGATATCAAAGCCTCTGGATAATATCATATTAACAAAATCATCATGAGTAGTATAAAGTAGAAGTGGATACAAATTCAAATACTAAGAAGCAGTTTCATTTTTCTTGCCAGATTAGTAGATCTTCTTATACATCAAATTATTTTCTCTACTTCCTTTTAATTTGACAGAGAAAATGTTGTATCCTCATCTCTTATGACAATAAAAAACTTTGAAGAAAGAAGTCTACTTCAGATAGGTATTTCTACGTATAAGTAAAAGCAAAAGTAAGTATGCCAGTAAACAATGCAGGAAAAAATTTATAGATATTTGTACCTTACTTTTGACAGGTCACCTTCAAGGTTTGTACAAAGAACTGGAACTACATTCTGAAATAAACAAAAAAGTCAGTTTTACTCATGTCTGGTGTGTAAGTACATATGACTAGTTCGGACTTACCTGATAAACAAAAGAAAGAGCAATTATAGGTATACTTTGTGGGATTGCCTCAAAATGGGCCTGATGAAGAGATTGCCACTGCAAACCTCCAGATGCGACTCCCAACATAAATCATAGCCCAATTAATACTGAGCCATATTAGTCCTGACTTTTGAATGATAAGCTTGCTGGCATATTTTAAATCATTGTCTAAGCATTTAAGTCCCATGTGTTCTGAACAAGTCAATTCAGACAACAAAAAAATTATTGTAGATGAAAATAATAAGAAAATAAAACAGCAATCATGTTATGAGGGATATAAGTACCACAAGAGATGTAAAAGACACAACGATGCCAAGCACCAGAAACCCATTTATTGCACCTATAACTCGCTGGCTGCAGTGAAACAGCAGGAATAACTTAACTTTTAAAACATAAAAAGTTAGGAAGTAAGATGATAACCCCTCAAAGTTAATAAAAACTACTATGAGGCAGAACATTGTCTACTTTGAAAATGTAGTAGTGAAATTTTGAGGCAGCAACCAGTTAGGAAAGGTAGTTCGAAGGATTGTCACTCTATCCACTTATTAGACAACCATGACATGGTAGAACATTTATAATGGTCAATTTTTTAAAGAATATAGATGTTATTAGGAAATTTGACAGTAGGGAGAGGAAGTCGCAATTCCAACCGCTTTTCCATAAAGCTTCTTCTGGCCTTGCATTTTGAAACTTTTTAACTAGAGAAGTTCTCTATCATGATCTCAAAACTAATCTCATTAGAATAAAATAGATCTAGAAAAACATGTCCTAAAAAAAAGTGTGAGAACATTTACTAACTTGCAAATGGCATCAACTTTTGCTCTTGAGAACAATCACAGATGCTAGCAGGATTCTACTATTAAAAATTTGTAGTTAGCATTGTGTTAAACCAAGTAACCTGACTTTCGTCATGAGACAAACTTCAATTGAAACATACCAGATAAGAAGGTCTTTGTTCTGGCTGAGAAGTGATAAGTATATTGAGACTCGAATTAGGCTCAAACAGAGTGAGAACCAGGATATAATTTTGACAAGCAGTTAAAAGTATACCTCTTCCTTATCCAATTTTGAAAGAAATGTTCATTTTTGTAATTATAATGAGTATGTGCTTTATGAAATCAACTTAATCATTTATGTCTATCATCACCAAGCTGATACAAGATAGACTTGCTGACTATGTTTACTCGAATTGAAATGAGATGAACAGTTGAAAAAAGAAAGTTAACTGTACCACTGTAAGTTCTAGTATGGTACATGCTTGATAATCTAATAGCTAAATATACATATAGGTCCATATGTTCTCCTGTAGCCCTTATCATGCCAAACTAACCGAGTTGATAGAGCTTTAAAATGTACAGTTCTTGAATAGGTGAATATCATAGTACTGCCATAGCAAACATCTGATATACAAAAAAGGGAAAATCTCGAGAAGGAAGTTCAATTGGAGTATGATTATTCTGCAACTTATATTCTTAGTTAAACATTTATTCAATTTTTTTTCTTATAACATAAATGAAAACAGAATAAATCACTATTCCTTAGAATAAAATTTAGATGAAGAGTCTTCATACGGTGGAGTGCTGAAGGTATTTGTCAAAATCTCTGAAGAGTGAGCCACATATGCAACAAGGAGTGCATAATGTATAAATATGTAGGACCAGCTGCAGAAATATACTTGAAGTCAAGACCATGAAATGGCACAGGTACAACTGTATAACAAGAAGATGAAAAGATTTAAATCTAGATAAAGATAATGCAATTGCTTTAACATATTTGATGTACTGAAGTCTGACAGTATTGTAAAATGCGATGTCAAAACATTTTAGCTTTAATATGCTTTACAATTACTAACCAAGTAAGAAAGAGTTAACCATGAATCACACTTTAGCTGTTCTCATAGAACTTAATGTTTTCTTTAGACTCAATATGCAACATAATTTTCTAATGAGCCTTGTTCCCACTGCTATAACAAATTGTGTGGACCAAGACTTCCTCCAATGGGATCCAAGATAGTTAAGCCACAGTTTACTAGCAGTGGTTTAGTTGATTCATATATCCAAGTCCTGACATATAAGGTTCTGATTTATTTGCACAGAAAGTGAGACAAAATGGCAAATTAAAGTGCATCCTATTTTTACACAATTTATAAATTACACAATCAGAAAGAGGATGTCTTGAACCTTGATTGTCTAAATTTTTCTTTTCAAAAAATATATAGTTTAGGAGAAAATGAGAAATCATTAATGTGTAAAAAATAACTAACCATATCATAACAATTTAATCTATTTTTTTACTCTGCATTTTTTGTCACACTCGGCAAGGAATATCCACGAATTCCTTTTCCCTTGGTGGATTTCTTTCATTAATTTATCTTTTTTAATCAAATGGACCGCTTAATTATCACAATGTCCCAACAAAACCAGATTGTAAGGCCAACACTGAATTGCAGCATGTGTTGTCAATGGGTCCAACTCTCTTAAATCAAGGTTCGCAATACCGTACCATACCGGTATTTCGACCTGGGCTCGGTACCGGTACGATACGGTGTACCGAGCGGTACACCGAGCACTGTAGCACTGCTACAGTACTGTTGCACTGTACTACTACTATAACAGTGCACTGCTACAGTGCGGACCGGTACCGGGTGGTCCGCGTACCGCTGGCCTGTCGGATCGGTACATACCGCCCGTACCGGGCGGTACGATTCGGTATGGCAGACCTTGCCTTAAATACATCCTGAACAACCCACAATGCACTAGACTGCAGAAGACGAGTCACAAGGTTTTGTGATTCCATTTATAATGATCTTTTAGTTTAGGAACTTGTATGAAAATCAAATTATATGATGATAATTATGATAAACTGTGGCAGCCTAGGGCAACAGGCTCCTGATGATGCAGTCTAGGGAAGATCACCATATGCAACCTTACTCCTGCAACCATACCTACCCAAAAAGTTGGGACTTAGTGGCTTGTCATTGTATATCAGAAGGTACACTTCTTCATTCCTTATTTCTTTTGTTTTTCATTTCGCATTTTAGGGTCCAGAGAAAAATTATCAAGGATTTGAGTGAGAATAGGTTCATTACATATGTACAAAGTGCAGTTATTGAGTATCTTGATTTTTGCACAAAGCCTTCTTGGTTAATGCTTCGGTGATGATAACTTTAGATTAAGTTGGGCATCTAGTTTCTTCAATTATTCTATGGCCTACACATATGACATGCATTGAATCTTTAGGGTTAAGTTATTGTTAACTAAGGGTATTTATTTATTATGTGAATCAAAAGCTAGCATTCTATCTGGAAGAAGGGTGGTCATTCGTCGCCGCCTTATAGCTCTGTTTTCAGCAGTATATGAATCTTATCAAGAGAGAAGAAAATAATCAAAATTTCAGAAAGGGCAAGATTTGGCTCAATGCTCAAGTAGAAATTTTTTAATCTTTATATTTTGAAGGTTGAGCTATTGTAAGTGAAATTCATGATTAAAAAAAAAGAAACTCTACTGCAGGCCTCTCTCATTTTCTACCCTATTTTCTTGCTCGATTATTATCTTTTACTCTTATTATTTTTCAAAAACTCTGCTCAGATTTCTTATATCAAATAGTCCAACAGCAGTTTGACCTACTATTTTCAATCCCAGATTAATTAAATTGAGTCCTGCCTTCTTGGTGTACCTCAGTTGACTCAGAATACATCAGGTCTCCTCTTCAATGTTTGGGCAACTTTTGATATTTTGCTTTTGCCCAAAAAGGTTCACTAAAATTTGATCTCCTTTACAAAGTACTCAAGATCAAAGACAGAAATCCCAAGATAAAATTGTAGCCATTGCCTAATGCCCACCACTAAACTAGAAAAGCAATAAAATGCATGCAGTACAACAATTAACTTAATGCATTAAGAACTAGTTTTGGGATTGTAGATGTGATATCTTATATATTTTCATAACATTTACTGTCAAATGTAAAAAATGTATAAGAGAAATATTTAAACATTCTTGAACACAGAATTCTTTTAACAATCTAAGCATCCAACTACAAATATGTAGTAAGCAACCTAATGCACATACCAGGCAGCTTGAACCCCAAAATTTCCAAGTGTTCTCATTGCCATTGAGACCTGAAACACCAAGGTCTAGGATTAGTGGCTACATATGTTACAATGATTTCCAAGCTCAATAACTGTCACTCATGAACAAATCTTGTACCTCGTTAGTCTTCATTGTTGTTTAGTTGAGTTCCTTCTTATTAACTCGGAACATTGACTGCTCACATAGAATCCACTTGAACTAAACTAGAAAAACCCAGTGTCATTTTCAATAGATAATCGGAATATTGGCAATAATTTATGTTTGATGATTTGAAGTAATATGACAGCAGTATATTGCATTAAGTAATTAATTATATACCCTAGCCTTCTTTTTCCCTTCTTCCTGAATTAGATGCTTATTATCTGAGTCCCCTACATGTCTCTATATGTGTACAATAAAGGAGTCTAGTGGGTAACAATTTGCAAGATAAATAAGATAGAGAATGTTACCTAGTAAAAGTTAATGCAAGCAAATGATAAAAGGCTTAGGACATGGCATATCAATTCCTACACAGTTCCAACAAACAAATTGAAGAAGAAAACAAAGGCACTACAAGAAAATTTAGATTGAAGGAAAATTTGTCTTCAAGTGTCTTACCAATGAGACACCTCCAGAGCCAAGTTCACACATTGTATTTACATTTACTTCTGCAATCAACAATCCTGTCACAACCCAAATTTAAAGTGAGCCTAACTACACAAAAGCTCAATTCATGTTAAAAAATGTATTGCAGGGGCAAATTACCATACCTCCCTTTAATGACATGACACTACAAGGAAGATGAATTCAGATGAACAGAAGAAACAAACACAACACCATAGATTCATGTAGAAAATGCACCTCTGAGAAGGTTCCTTGGTGGCGTTTTCATAACCTGTAATAGGGTGGCACTAGTAATTTGCCCATTCCTTAATATTCTATTCAAGGATTGAAATATCATACCATATTGAAGTTTCGATATTCTCTCGATACGGTATGGTACTGTATACCGAGCGATATATCGTTCGGTATATATATATATATATATATATATATATATATATATATATATATATATAAGTAAAAAAAAATTTTGACGACGTCGCCTCTATATATATATATATATAATCTTTTATTTATATATCTATTTATATATATATATATATTATATGTATTTATTTATTATTTATAAATACAAAATACCGTCCAGTATCAAGCAGAGAATGCATGTTATTGCAGAGGCCAAAAATCCTGCTTCTTGAGTAACTGCAGGAATTTCAAGGATACGTGCACCAACCTATGGCATTATTGGAAAACTGATAAGAAACCCTACTATCTAACGATCCATTGCAGGAATGTGCAACAAGATCTCACAATGCATCATTAAAAGCATATGATAGCATCACGAACTCTTAATGAAATTTAGCATTCTAAAGAATTAAACTAGGGCCAGATGGTGCTAATCGCATTTCCCACATTGCGTTGCTAAACCTGCATTCCTCAAATTAAAAAGGAAATTTAAGCGCCAGCACAAGGGAAAATTACATACCGTGGTGCCAGCCACTAGAAGGATTCCGCTGGTGACGCTACCTGAGAGAAGCATTTGAGGGTTCTTGGACGGGACCCTCTTCATCGTGGCCTGATTGAGGTTCGAGAAAAGCCTCTCGAATTCTTGCACCGATTGCTTCTGGGAGAAGCATTTGAGGGTTCTTGGACGGGACCGGGAGGGTACCGTAGGCCTTCGGATCACAGGAATGGCGAGGGAGGTCGGAGGAGGTCTTCTTAAGGGGAAAGCGAAGGCGAGTGCGGAAACATGCAGCAGAGAGGAAGAAGAGGAAGAAGCAGTTGAGATCGATGCCATCACTCCTCCCCACTCTTTCTGTGGAGAGGGGAGGGTTTGTTCGGATTAAGAACAAAAGCGAGACCAAAGGATCAACGGTCGACCGATGAGCTCGTTTGTTCGTTCTTGGCCGCAGTGCCGCCAAGATAGATTTGGAAACGTTTCTCAACCAATTCTTGTTTCCAAAACGTTTTTAGGGCTTGGCCTGCGTCAGAAAACGTTTTCTAGTCGGTTCTTAGTGTAAGAAATTTTAATGAAGCCAACTTGTGTTTCTAAATCATTGTAATAGAAACACAATAAAACTATTGCGGAAACGAAATAGCGTACCAACAGCTATTGTCGCCAAGAATTTCTGTAGAGGTTTCTTCTTGAACTTTGGTTTTTCTCGGCTCAGAACTCTCGTTTTAGATGGTATAGGAAAGTCTTTCGCTTCAAAGAGATGACTGAGCCCAGGGACCAAAATTCTCATATATATAGATGTTCTCCCATCAAGAACATTTATTATCATCAAATCATAACGTTCAAGAATTAATTCAAATTTGTAACGTTTGGACCATAATTAAGAACTTTAATGATATTAAATATTTAATTTAATAATAACGGTTTCATGCATAAAGAATAAAAAACTGAAATCATTTAAATCATAATAAATGAAGAAATTCATGATAATGAATTATGAATCATAATGAGAACAGTTATATTATTATTAAATTAAATGTTTAATAATAACTGTTACACTTAGTTCTCAACCAACTTAGGGATGTGAATTATATGTATGGGTACGAGTATTCTCTACTTGACAGGATGGAAGAAATAAATAAAGATAAGGACATTTTATATTAAGGATGGATATTAAGCTCAAATACTAAACGGGCTTTTGTTGTTCAAGTTAGATTAATTAAACATCGATAATTATGATTTAATTAAAAATTATTTAATTTAATTAAATCAAATAAAATATCTTCTCGTTCGATACGAATAACTCTTCCCTATAGCCTCATGCATAATCCTTAATACCGAGCGGCTTTGTTTAACTTTGTCTTCCTGCTGAATCCTTACCTAATATTTTATTTGTTTACTAGCAATAAGGATCGAAATAAACTTTGGGTATTATTATCGATTTGATTATTGAACTCTTGACCACTGTATCATTTCTTTGTTAGCAATAGTTACCGTAATCAATTTTCTTATTTAGCTTGACCGAGGCTTGTTCCTTTAATTTCATCGATCTTGCATATAAAAGAATTGGTAATCTAACTCGTTACTCCTTCCTTACTTATTTGGTTTAAGAATGAACAAAGAGGTAGCCTTCTTTTTACATGTTCGCATTCTTATATCGTTGTTATGCATTAGGTGCATTACATTTTCTATACCTTTGCTCTACACTCAAATTCTTTCAATTGCAAATGGTCAATAATAAACAAAGACTTAGTTGATTTTACCTAAGTTATGGTAATCTAAGTTATGGATTTATATAATAATTACACATAATATATATTTATAAATCTGAAAGGATCATAAAAACTAATTAAAATTGGGTTGTCAAGCCTACTATAGGCCTTGTACATATTGTGCAAAACATAAATAAAATTAAAAGACACAAACATACACAAGCATTACATGTAATATTATGTTTATAGTTTTGTCCATGATATTCTCCCTTATTTATTTCTTTGATATCTTTGTCAAAGCCTTTGTCAACACTACATCTCTTCAACGTTATTGAATATGTAATCTTCTACTCTAATTACAATGCATCTCTTGGCTCTCAACTATTCTCTATCGTTATTGTTGAGTAATCAAACTTTGATTTGTCATGTTGCTTCAACTCGCTAATGACTTTAACTCTAGTGTGAGGTCGATCGAGTTATGCTGATATTTGTTGGTTCATATAGATCCTTTGGATAAAGAAAAATATCTTGTTATGCACTAGTCTTTCAAACGTTTCATGCTACTTGGATTAGTCAAATGCCTATTTTAGCTCTAACGAGTACCACCTCGAGTTTTTGAGGTCTTTCCTTTATAAAATTTGTCCATTAATTTTTCTTATACTTAGTTTCATCTTCGAGTAGGTTCACATCACTTCCCCTTTCAATTATTATTCTATTAGAAAATAAAATAGATAATCTATTCTCGGTAGAACCGATCACCATTGGTGAGAATTTAACACTTGTTGTCTTTCATTAAGTTTCTTGAAAGATTTTTTTAACATATATAGAGATCTTCTGTTAGATAAATAAAAGAACTAAAGTATTCAGTTTTGTCTATTCTCTTAAGAGGTGAGAAGATAAAAGTTATTTAACTTTACTTACCTCCCTGAGAGTTATACTTTATACATTAAGTTGGTTACTAGTCGTCGCCTACTCTTTACTCACACTTTTGAAGCACCTGAAGTGTCTGCATTTCTTGTATTGAGTTAATTATTATGATTCACCTCCTCAGTGTTATCAAACTTTTGAAATACAAAAAGTTCTGTCCAAAATGAGCAAAATTTTATCTCAACTTAGAGCAAGTCTCTAATAGTTTAAATCATATTTAGAATTGTACCATCTTCTCTATCATTTTTGTTGCTTAATTCTTTAAGTAAAAAAGGTATAGTACCATGTACTACCTACTTCATTCCTTAATCAAGCACTCTTATATCAATTTGAAGTCTCTTATATTCGATTATTTGAATGAGAAGCCCTTTGACATGAGTCTTACAAAATTCTCTAGCCTCTACCCTTTAGTCTTATTTCAATAGTTGAAGTTTGTCTTTACATTCTCCATCTTCTCGGTCTCTTTCATGACCAAGCACTCTCCCATTATAAGAACAAGGGATTAATGATCCCGCATCTGCGATTTCATAGTACTACCATGCTCACAACCATATTATTTGTCATATTGCATCGACATCCCTTTTTTCATGATCAGTAGATCTGCCTATTGTGATAGTGTGATACTTCTTTGAGTCTACCTTCATTCTAATCGACGTTTGATTTTGGATAGCTAAGTCCTTATGAACTTGTTGTCGCTTTCTTGTTCTTTTCGATCACCTACTTCAACACCTCTATGTTCTCGAGTAGTTCTCCTTGATCGATGAAAAGATATACTACAATTCTCATGTATAGCCTCTGCCATCATATTATAGGGCTCATGTCAATTTTGTTCTTCTTTACATCCTTAGTAACAACGTTACTTACTCGATCTTATCCTTTAACTTGTCAGGCTCCCTTAAGCGAATATGAGCTTTAGAGCAGTCCAACTCTTCAATTGCTCTAATCATACCTTTGTATGATCAAGTCTCCCTATGAGACTCACTAATATTTGTATTTAGAATTTTTCCTCAATGGTACACAGCTCTCATATGCTGATGACAAAGGTTTTTTATCTGATATAAAATTCAATTCACGCATGGAAGACTCGCCTCTATGGTATCATGTTATTTACTCCTTAAATCAATAACCCTTTTGTTATTATGTTGTTCATCGAAGTGAAGCTCACAATAACTCACAATCATATATCTCTGTATGATCAAGTTTCTCATGGGACTTCTCCCATATATGTCACATTGCTTCAAACTATATCATCATGATTTGCTACACCATATCACCTTACAGTGACATATTTATTATATTCTGATCTTTGTGGGATGAACATAGATTGTGATCTCTCAATGTATTATCTTTACTAGCACATCTAGGGCTTTTGTCACCTTCAATTATGTTTTCTCTTTTGACAATTGACCTTTATCCACCCACTCTCAAGTTATACATGAATGAAGCATAGCTCTAGGACATTCCATTGCCTAATAGCTCTTGAAGTCCATTTACCTCGTTGAAATTAATGGGCCATTATATGGATCCTAAGCCCCTGCCCCCAACACAATCTTCGTTATGTACCGTTTCCTTCGTAATAACTCAAATGGTAGCACTATAATATATTCTTTAAGATTATCTACCTCCATATTCTTTTGCCTTGTATTAAGGCCTTTTGACCCTAATTTATTCTACAAGTTGAGTTGTTTTAGTTCTTCTATCAAATGATTCATTAAGATATGGTGCACGTGCCCCAAAGCTTCCATCAACTTTAGTATAATGCAAACTGAGTTTTCTCCATCAGAACTAGGGACCCATGGAATAATATGATCTTACTCTTACCTTCGCAAGAGTTCATATCCTTAATCTTTATCTAAGGAAAGCTTCATGCATCAACAGAAGGCTTCGGGTCGTAGATTTTGGCATCGGACCAAGAAGAGCGGATATTGCACCAAGGATATCAGAGTTGTAGAGTCAATTGACCGATTGGGCAATAGGCCGCAAGAGAGGACGATGCGCCAAAGAATCGGACGAAGCGTCGAGGGACCAATGACATGCCGAACAACTTGATTAATGCTAGTGTTAATTATCTAGATTGAAGTATGTTTTTACATGTGCAGGATTAACTACGACAGTAAGGCATGTAGCAAAATGAAGTCCCGGAGTCAAGATCGAGATCACGTTGGGAGTTCGAGAGTTCGTCGGAAGTCCGGATGTTCGTCAGAAGTTCTGGGGGAACCAACCGAGAAGTCTCAGAGCTTGCTAGAGAAGCTCGTCGAAACTTGCCAATAAGATCGTCGTGAAGTCCAAGAGCTTGCCGGGAGTCCGCCGGAATATTACCGAGATATTATCGAAAGATCATCGGAAGCTCGCCGGAAGAATAGACATATGGACTTGTTTAGCTTAGCAAATGTCTTACGATTTCATAGTTAGCATGTAATTGGGCTTGGATTTGGGCCAACCCAATTAGGGGCCATCTAGGCCCATATAAGAACTGTGTTGGACCCAATAAAAGGCCCAAATAGTACCCCAAGAAGTCCCCCAAGAAGTCTCACCGTCGTGGCACAGTCTTCGAGATTGTGTCGGGTGGTGGAACTGCTCCTAGTAGGGTGCCAGGTAGTGGTACCGCCCAGCACAGCATCCCAGGTGGTGGTACTGCCCAGCACAATGCCCCAGGCGGTGGTACCGCTAGATTGGGCGATGGTACCGCCTAGTGCAGTGTCAGTGTCAGACTAACACTGGGCGGTGGTACCACCCGTGCCTAGGGAACCCGGGATGAGATGTTTTTAGGCTCCAAGTTTGAATCAACTTGAAGCTTATAAATACCACTCTCATCCCTGGTTAAAGCACATAAGCATAGAGAGTCTAAAAGCAAAGAAACATTGCTGCAATCTCTTTAGATATTCCCTCCTCCAAGTCTAAGTGTTAGAATTCTGTTTAAGAGAAGAGAGTGAGTGCTTGTAAGGGTTATCTCCTAAACCCGATAAAAGGAGAAGAGGGGTGTAAAAGGTGGTTGGTCTTCGCTTATTGAAGGAAGACTATTAGTGGATGCCGGTCGCCTCGACCGAAAAGGAATCGGAGGAGTGGATGTAGGTCACGACGATCGAACTACTATAAACTGCCGTGTTCTCTGGTTTGCATTTCATTCTTGCTATTACCTTACTACAAACTTTCTTAAGTGCTTACTGCCTTCAATTCATTTTCGAACGTGTTTCAAGTTAAGATCTTTACGAAAATGTTTTCTTTGAAATCGGTTTTATCGTATGAAAGTTTTTGAAGACGTAGTTTTTACCGCTGCACTAATTCACCCCCCCCCCCTCTTAGTGCTGACTCCCGATCCCAACAAGCTCGAACAAAGCCATCCCTACTTTTTATGCAACGTGTTCTTCCCAGTTCACTTGTCCTCATGGTACCTCTCGCACAAAGGGTTGGCCAAGAATGTCAATCTCGGATGCCCACTCCTCTAAGTAACTCTTTTCGTTACATCTCAATGCTCGTTTTTCTCAATCGATCACATATGCTAGTTGCCCTCCATATAGCCCCATGAAGTCCCCTATGTTTGGATGTCAAATGTTTCTAAGTGTGCTTGTCTCGCTTCGATACCATCTATCATGGACTTAGTTAGTTTTGTCTAAGTCATGCGACACTCTTGCATGTTTGTTCATAAATGGTCAGCCTCTTTAACACATCTTATAGTCTCTTAAGGACTTGTAAAAGAGAAGATGAATTAGAAGAAGTATTTAACATATGATTCAATAAAAAATTATTTCAGCAAACACTTGATAGATAATACAAATTATAAACATACACTTCGGAAGCTCTTAGTAATCGCACGACAAAAGGCCTAAGGCGATCTCCTCAAGTACCCATATGACATTATTGTAGAATAAGACAACAAACTAATCCTAAACACTACGTAATAGCTCATCTAATTATGTGTCACCCCGTTAGCTCTTGAGTACTGTATTGGCTAACACTTCACACCACAATATGGAGCTAAAAAATTTCCTAAAATAGCTTGTTTCTTGATAGTTTTTTCTCTATATGATAATTGTACACAACTTATATTTATAATCTTAAAATGACTATAAAAGTCAACCAAAATTAGATTGTCAAACTTACTACAATCAAAAGACAGAGATATATACAAGCATTACATCAAACATCTTGTTTATACTTTTTTTTTATGATACTACAATCGTCGGTCGTCATAGCTCTTGGCCCCTCCGTCATGTCTTTCTTCAATCCTCCTTTATCTTCCCCTTACCTCTCCCATATGTTATGATAATTTTGATTCTATTTATATTTGAATAATTATCTTTTATTATGTGTAAATTTTTATATTATTAATTACGTTTGATAGTAGTTTTATTTTTAAAAAAATTGAATGATTTAATTAGGATGATAAGAAGAACCCATTGATTTCTCACCCAATAGGGATTCTCCATCCCTGCCCCTGCCCTGCCCCTTGAGGATGAGGGATTAGAGATGAGATGAGGATAAGCATTTCCCACCCCATCTTGCTCCCTTGGCATTCCTAAATAAGTTTATTTTTAATAATCAGACAAGTTATTTTTATTAGGATTTTAATGACACTAAGAGGGGTGAATTAGTGTAATAGTATTTTTAATCAAAATTTGATTGATAAATCAACACATTTTGAAAACTTGATTAATCTAGTTAAAGTAGTAAGTAAAGAAAATAAAACTAAGTTATATGTAAATGACAAGTAAAGAGAGACAAATCAATTTATAGTAATTCAATCTTCCCGATCTATATCCATTTTTTATTCCTCTTCTCTCGAGACCATCGGCTTTCACTATCAATCCTCTTTGCAATAGGTAAAAATCAGCTAATCTTTGTTATAACTTTCTTCTTTTTGATGCTAAAGAGATAACCTTCGTACTCTCCCTCTATACAAGATCTCTCACCTCGTGTAACTTAGAATTATAACTAAACTTTAGAGGAGTAAAAGACTTAAACTATACTCAAAATAAGAATTTATAATACTATTCTAGCTAAGGAATGGATGCTCCATCAACCAAAGCTTGAATAAGATATTTATAGGCCTAAAAGACTTCAAGAATAAAATTTAAAATTTAAATCCTCAAAATTTTGAGGTATGGACAATACTACTGTTGATATTGGGCGGTACTACTATCATAATCATGTGACAAATATAGGCTCTAGTAATACTAATGTTGACCTAAGTGGTATTATTATTTGGCCTAAGTGGTACTATCACCATCATAGGCAGTACCACCATTGGAAACACCGATAAGGCACAAATATCGCTTGTTGATTGATTTATGTAGTACTATCGCTTGGGCTTAGTGGTACCATTACCTAAGCCTAATTTAGACCACCGATTTAATCTTCTAATAGGCCCAATTCAATCGAGCTTCAAGTCCAATGGCTTTTTTTGATAAATTGATATTATTTCGAACTAATACCAATTCAAATTAATCTATAATAACCTTGATCAAAATTTTGATAAATCAACCATACTTCAACATGTTATGTGTTACTCCGGCATGTCATATGATCTTTTGGCACTTCATTAGAACATTCAATATATCGTCCTTTCCTTTAGTATATAACACATTTTATCGATATATTGATATTTCCACGACATCCAATCTTCCCGTGTAATATTCGATCCTTCTTGTATGATGCCCAAAACTTTAGCATGAAGTTTTATTTTTAGCGCTTTGACTAATCCTCTAACAGACGTCAAATTTTTTATATAATTTTTGACATAATATTTGACTCTCTTACTCAATAGTTAGCTCGTGGTGATCTGAGTCCATGATTGAAATATTTACTATGTCACTTATCTCAATAATATATTAGCCCAATAAACTCATTGTTCATTTTCATCATCAAAATTTAAGATTCAATAATTTTCTGTAGCACAAAACTACTAATAGGATCTTGATTTTACTTTATATTAGAAATTTTAATGAGAAATAACATGTGCAATTTATTAGATTTTCCATTTATATATGGTTAAATGGACTTGAGAAAAAATCATTATAATATGAAAATGGAGAAAATTGCTCTAAATTTATGATAATTATTTTTTAAAGCAACACATTAAAAAGATTATAAAATTTCATGGAATGAACAATTCCAGTAAAAAATTTCGATTTTTAAGAGCATATGTGAAATGTTGTGCGCATCTGTTCAAAACTCGATGAGAGAGAGCTGTAATCTTCAAATGAAAGTGAATTATTATATAAATAATCCAACGAGGGCATTTGGTCTAGTGGTATGATTCTCGCTTTGGGTGCGAGAGGTCCCGAGTTCGTTTCTCGGAATGCCCCTTTTTATTAATTGTATATTAACTATTAATATAATTTTTGAAAGCCCTCAATATAGCTGAGTTAGATAATTGGACTTAGCTAACAACCTCACAAAATATATTTTATCATTAGAAGAAAAAAAAATCAGTTGTAGGTCAAAAATCAGTATCAAATGATATACCAAACTATCTTGCTAAACATAAAATAATCCTTTTCATACTAGAGAAAGTGAAAAACGTAGTAACATTGAATACTATATATGAAAATAAGTACACAACATTGATAAGTTGCTCAAGTTCCAAACCATGGTCACATATAAACCATGCTAAACAAAATAATACAGTAAAAGATACAGCTCAGCTGCAAAGAATCCAAAATGTAAAAGATATCATCACAATGCCATGCAGATACATTCCCTTTATATTTAAATATGCAAGCAATAAATGATTAGAAATAGTGCATGCATAAGTTCTGGCACTCATGAAAAGAATACATTATGTAGAAGGACAATTCTGTCTATGAATACATCAGATTGGCATAAGCCTAGTCTGGGAGAAAGTCATACCCTCAGCTGTTCATCCTAGTTTCAGACTATATTTAAATTTCTAAGTACATGGGTAGATATCTTCCACAAACCTTAGAGGGCTACAATTGTAGTTTGAGGTTTTGACTTCCCGTGAAACAGTCTTCTTCCACTGAACGTATCTTTGGTTAGTTTCTTAAGGTCAAAAAAGCCGCCACCCTTTTTCTCTGGGTGCTTAATGGACCTCCTCAAGGTAACATTCTCTTCCTTCAAGATATCCAAAGACAAAGCAAGCTGTCTGATAACATCCCTTTTCTCTTCATCTTTTCCTGCTATTTCAGCCTTAAGTTTTGCATTCTCCTCTCTAAGCCTTTCTAGTTCATGTTTCAGTTTCATCACTAAATAACGATCAGTCCCTTCATCCGACATAACTCTTGGCTTATTCTCAGCTTCGTTTTCTTCTTGTTCAGGATCATCAACTTCGGATTCCTCTGAATAAAATGAATCGGTGGAAAACTTAGGGCCCTCATCGGCATCACTGCTGCTTATACTCCGTGAACAGCTTCTGTCAAAGAAAGCAGGACAAACTGATATCGAACGTCGCACTGCTGATCCAGATTTTAGTTGATCATGCTGCTCAGCCAATGAGCGATGAGCCCGGTAGAAATCTTCAATCATGTCTACGAGTTGAGGTCTCCTTTTGTAGTACATCTCTGCACGCTTAGCGAAGGAGTCGGCATCTTCCTCTATCAGGTTCAGCATCTGCTTGGTCTTCTCTTCTAGTTCTGCACAAGAAAAACATTCTAATATCATGTTACAAATGACTGCAAAATATAGAGAGACACTTTAGATTTGCTAAATGACACCTTTCTTGTATCCTTGTTCAGCATTTAAGTTTTATAACTTCAAAATGTTTTCAGCAGGGAGACAAATTAAAATCACAGCAAGTTTAGTCAAGTTAAATGCGTACAGTTACTAGACCGACTACTTGGATGTATCCTTGCTGATACAAAATACCAGCCGTTGATGAATCAACATGCTATGATGACTGCTAGCAAACATCTGACGATCTGTGTTCTTCCTGCTATCTTTTACTTAGAAGGGTTGGCATGCATGGAGTGAAATTTTATCAGGGACATCAAAATGGGATCTTCCTAAGCTAATTATACATCAGACATCTAGTTAGTCCCGATTCTTAAACAGGATAGCTCATAAATGATATCTAGAGCTTAAAGTAAACGTATCTCCCAAATATCTACTGAATCAAAGAAGGACAAGAGAAAAAAAAAATAACAGAGGAGGTGAAAAGGTAAGAAAGAAAAGGAAATTGGAGGAGAAGGAAAGAGAAAAGAAGGAAAAGAATTACAGAAAAATTTTCTAATCTCTTTTACCAAGCTTTGACAGTAATGGATCGGATAGCTACAGGATTTGCACTACAGCCATAAGGTAAGTATTTGATATATATGTTTTCCATGCTTTCTCCCGAGTATTTTCAGGTATTTACTTCATTGTTTAGGCTATCCAAAGATCTAGCTCAAAATAAATAAATAAATAAAACTACACAATAAAACAAATAGCTATGGTCAAGACGGAAGGATTATTCAAGCATGCATCTGTGAAGGGATGAAAGTTCAGAATGGAAGAACTCTCAACAAGTCCTAAATTTAGACCTTCCTTGGTCAGATGTCAAATTTTAATTTCACTGTTTTGAAATATATATAATATCATTGTATGTGGTGGGTGTTTTAGCGTTAAAATTTTTTTGTCTTGATTTTGGATGAATCATGGAACATTGAAATTTAACATCAAACCTTGGATGGTTCTACTGATTTATGGAACCCTATAATTTGCCTGCAATCCAAATATCATACATTGATGATACATTCATACATGGTGAATAATTTAACAATTAATATTTTCGGTCTTGATTTTTCTTTTGGTCTTGATTTTGAATGATTTACGGAAGACCGAAATCTGTACATATCACTGTGGATGGTTTAATTGAATATTGTAGTTACTCATGGGAACAATTGAAGATCTGCATGCATCTAAAAGTTACTTGAGTGTCAAAGCTTAAAGAAAACTCCTTGTTTGATGTGAAATATTTCTTAATTGCTAATTCAAATTCCTTGCATAATAGAGTAACATTAGAATGTGGGTCGATGTGGATTAAGACCACCGATGAATGCATTCATCATATGTTGCATCAATTGCACAGTCATTTTGTTCTAACAAAGATTCAAAGAAAACCATGCAAACTTAAGAATAGGAATGCTAAGCATCCAATTTCATGCATACATGATACAGAACAATAACCATATCAATCTGAAAATGACCAGCGGTTTCAAAGAAAAGACTGACCGGAAAGTGTCGATGACAACCATGAAGATTGTGTTGAACTTTGGAGCCTGTCTTGGCTAGCAAACCACCATGAATGCGATGGACCCTTTCGCACCGTCATCTTGCTTGCTCACTTACCTGCATCAACCATCAACCACCATCATTCAAACAGAAATTATGAGCAAGTGATTTTGCGGATAATAGGCTCATCCATGGGCTTCAAGGCCTCATGGTCTATCGGACATGGATTTCAACCCAAGCAACAAGATACTCACAGATCAGAAACCAATCTGCCCACAGGAGCTGATCAAAAGAGAGATTTCCTGGATCTTTCCACAAAAGTATTCAAGATCCAAAGGGAAGAGACTTTATGCAACTAACAACGAATGGGAAATCAAAGGAAAGCCACAATTTAGGGTTCATTAGCCATTAATCTTCACGGAAACATCAATCAAAGGAAAACAACCCTCTCTCTCCTCTCCCATTCCGTTTCATGTTCACTGACCGTATTCTTTCTTTACAGAGAATCTCCTAAACTAAGGGAAAAGGTGGATCAGACAAGGGAGAAAGAACCTGAGAGCCTCTTCGTCTTCGTCGTCGTCTCCGTCTCCTTGGGCTGAGGATCGGAGCACCTCTCTCTCTCTCTCTCTCTCCCTGCGTGATTTAAAACAAGGCGTTCCCACCAAGAAGACCTCCACGTCGTCACTTTCCATTCTGCTTGGGACCCACTGCGCTCACCAATGAAGCATCGACAACAGTGACGAAAATATCACCACACTCCTCGACTTCCCAACCCCCTGTGCCGTTCAAATGAAGCTTCGTTCGAATCTTCCTAGATGCCAAAAAATGCCATTGGCTCAGCTTATTTTTACAGATCATGCCATTCCCGGCGCAATATTGGGCCGGATACGCCTGGCGTATTATTATCACATTTATAACGCGAGAGCGAGGAGGTATTTATTGTTATAATTTTTAGGGTCAAGTTATTATTTTAATTAGTCAAAATTAAAATAATCCAATTAAAGTAAAATTATTTTACTAAATGATATAATTATTATGAAAACTAATTATGTGGATTCGATCGTATATATATCCTGATTTGATAACAAGACAAGTTAGGAATATGAAATATCTTTCATGACTAGATAAGTTAGGAATATAAAATATCCTAGAGTATTTCTATAAATAGGATTATAGTCCGATTTCAGTATCATTTTAGATTTCTCTTCGTCCTTCATCAATTAAACTAAAATATTATGATGGATTCATTAGGTACACTTTCATATCCTAGAGTATTTCTATAAATAGGATTATAGAATTTTATGCATATTATTATGGATTTAATAAGTTTTTATGAAAACGTTGTAAGATTTAATTTTGGTTCTATAAAATATGTTTGATCGATGTGTTAAATATTTAACATTTATATGAATTTTCGATTGTATCTTCTTCTTCTCATCAATATCCTCATAGTTTTTTTGTACTTGTGTTGCATGGGAAGACATAAAAGCATGTAGTTTAATTGAGATATCAGGACACTGCTGGGAAGTAGGAATCCGATCAGCGCAAGGGTAACTTGGACATTTTATTTAGTCCAGGGGGGCAGTAAGTTGGGACCCGCAGGCCTGCAACGGACGGGACGACCAAGACGACCCCACCGAGGCTTCGGATTCTCTTCCCACCTTACTTGCGTTCGTCGGTGCAGATTCAATGACTGGCCAAGAGACCAAACACAGAAGAAGCTATTCCATTGGCGGAAACCTATGGGGCCCAGCGCTCAACTGGTGTTTGGCCGGAACACGGTTGCCTCACTCTGTGTTCGCTGCATGATCTCTTCCCACGTTCTCGTGTGACGCAACGGCTAGTTTTTCTGCTCCGGCTACATCACCTTGGCATATCCCCCTTCTTACGCATGGGAGTGATGAACCTAAATAAATAATAAATAATATAAATAAAAAAGGATGATCCAAGTAATAAGATTTTTTTATTTTACTTTTCAAATAAAATAAATTAATTTAGAAAACAAGACAACTTTTGTTTTGCCCATTACAGTGAGTCAACTTATCTTAACACCGATTCAGTCAACTCTGCTATGCATCCACAACCCCCATTGACTGCAATATAGATTAACAAGTTCTTTCTTAAAAGCAACATTGATTGAGAACAGTAGCTTCAGTTTTTTCTCTAATTTATACCCAAAGAATATTTAACTGTCTCTAATTAGCACTTCAAGAACTTACCCTTGAAGTAATTAACAAGCTGAGTAATATTTAACTGTCTCTAATTCTCCAGCCTTCTCAAAAAGATCAAAGTTTATGGAAGAGAAACAAAAGCCAACAAGAAAGCCAGGCTGTATGAAACGATCATAGAACAATTAGATTCATCAGCAATCCAATGGTAGCCACTGAAGGCCACCCATTTATTGCATTCAAGCTTGAACAGTGAAGTTAAAGTTGGAACAGGTGGTCATGATCCCCAGCAGAGTTGAGAGAAACCCCAGCCTCGACCTCGCCAGATCGAACAGTAGGAAGCTGTTCTCCAGTTGGTATCCGCCTATGACCATCGCTTGCTCCGCCTTCGGCCCACCATCGACGAATGCCAAGCACGCCGTGTCCTTATCTACCTGCTTCAATGAATTGGCTCCGAAGATGGTCCAGTTCGTCCCTCCTGCCAACATCACGTCGATCTGTGGCACACCGTATCCGACCCTCGTCGACCCCAACGCCGTGCTGTTCAAGCACAGACCGAAGGGCTTCACCTTCGGCGCCCGCGGGATAGCCTTGGTTGCCGCAGCAAAGGCCTTGAGGAATGGGCGATATATGTGGCTCGTAAGGGTGGTGTAAGGGGCCGCAGTGCTTATCATGACGCCGCCATGGCCAAGCGAGTCAAACTCGAGCATGCGAGCCAAGAACGGCACCGCCTCCCTGTTCACCGCCAGGCCCTTCGCTTCGAGGTAGTACGCGGGGTTCCTCGGGTTTCTCAGCAGAGTCGTGTACGTGAGACGCGCGGCGACATCCACCGGCGGTGCTGCAAGGAAGTAGAAGGGCTCGGTTCCGAAGAACGCCGCTCCCGGTGCCACTCCGGAGCTCGGGAGGCAGATGGCAAATTGCTTCTTTAAGTAAAGCTTAGAGAAGAGCTGCGAAGGAACGGCGAGGCCAGACCGAGCGAGCCCAGCAACACCGACGGCTGCGGCCGGTAGCGAGTTCAGGAGGCCTTTTGGCGCACAGGACGAGACAACCTCGGGAACGCACACCACTGTAGTAGGGTTCTTCCCATCTGTGGAGGAAAGGGTGACGCTGGTGAAGGTCAAGTCATCGGAGGAACACATCGTCGTAACCGGGTTCACTGGGTAGGCGGTGCAGGTGCAAGGCTGCTTGTCGATGGCCGCAATGCGGGGGCAGCGCGGAGGGTGGAAGGCACCAGCGGCGGCGCAGGCGGTGGAGTTACAAGGGACGGTGGGGTGTTCGGGAGGGCATGGAAACCATAGCAGGGGTCCTGCGAGGTCCAACACAAATTGCTTGTCGGTGTTGAGTGCTACGGTGTAGAGAGATGTGGAGACGTCCTTGGTAATGGGAGCTACGAGGGCTTTGGCTTCAGATGGGAACTGCTTTCCCGCAACAGAAGGTGGTGTTGTGAAGAAGGTGAAGGTGAAGGTGATCAAGAAGAGGAAACAAGGTGCCATGTTTGTTGGCTTTGGTGGAGTCGGAGTTCGAGGTAAGAAGCTTATATGAAGAAGAGGAGGGTTGCATTCTTCTCTCATACTAGTAGGATATTATTGTTGACTGTGGAGGCAAGCCATTGTCAGTGTGATGTGGTAGGATTGTTTAAACTTAAGGCTAAACACTCATCTTAATGATAGCTTTGACTTCTTATCTTGCTTGCATTGCATGCTGTGCATGACCTATTTGTTTAACCCTCAAGAGTACCTGATCTTGAAATATGTACTGAGAGATCTATTAGTTAATTTCTAATTAACTATTTAAGAAAATTACAAAATATATCATTGTAGCTAATTTCTATTAGCTAAATGTTTGGAATGACATTAAAAATCAAATGTATTAGTCACCCCCTTCAAAAATATATTAGAAAAGAGTTTTCTCCAAAGTCAGCAATTTTTATATTTGTCCCTTTAAATTTAAGTTTAGCTATACATGGAGAATTAAATATTTTGGAGTTCATGCCCATCATGTAAAGAATTATATATCTTCTCCAAAGCAGGATCTGCAATTAATATAAACATAATTTCAATCTGGTTCATGAATTCCTAACGAAATCCAGGGTCATCCCTGCACATGGTGGAATCCAAGTCCGATCCCCGTCCCAACTAATAAATAACGTGCCGTCCTTTAAACCCCGACCAACGACTGATGCGACTCACCCAATTGGTCGCCATCTGCGGGCCCCGGCCAAATCAGCCACTCGATGCTCCTCTTACTTTTACTATTTACCCCTCTACGGCCCGAAACGGTCAACTGAGGGAGAAGACGGGCAGCAGTCGATCACCAACCTCTTGCTTCGCTCTCGGAGGTCGCGACCGACGACCGGTCCAACCGACCAGTTCAAGAAATGGTCCGCAATTCCCGTGCCAATATGGGGGGCCCCTTTTCATCTCCAATAACCACGCGGTACACTGGCGGGTTGAATAACAAGGGTAGAAGTACAACGAAGTATGGAATAACCTGATATCCTTACGCTGAACCTTTTTCTCTTTTAGCTTTACCGCGTCGACGTCACGCTGCTGCGTCGTATCGTGGGCCCGGGTTGGCCACCGACGAAAAGTAAAAAAGTGGGTTTGCCGTTCGAAAGGCGACGAGATTTTGGGCATTTTGAGGAGTTCAAACCACGATCCGAGGCAATCAACTGCGTAGCCGCAAACAGCAGCATCACCACCAGACGAACTATTATTTTCCACGTAACCAACTACCGGTCCCACTTCTATAAAAGAACATCTTTTGATTGACACGTCATTTCTTTTCACGGATTTATTACCGTAGCCGATTCCTCCTCGTAAAAACCACGATACCGAGCACACAACTGCATAGCCCGAAACAGCAGCGTTTTCACTGGCGAATCATTGTTCGCCACGCCATCATTAGTTGGGTCCCACCTCGCTGTAAGAAGACCCAAACGACCCATCATTGGACATGTCATCGGGTTGCGAGGATTCCTTACAGCAGCAGATTCCTCCTCAGATCTCTGCTACTCTCTCTCTCGCTGCCGTCTGTAATAGTTAACATACTAAATGGTGTCCGGAAACCGTTCAACAACATGTGAGTGACAGTTCCTAGGGTTCAACGCCACCCATCTCTGTTCGTCTTTGTTCTCTCTACATACTCTTTTTGGGGGGGGACTTGACGACGAATTCTGTGTCTGTCTACGCGATCCACACCTCCAATCTTTGATCACCGGTAGTTTTCCTTGTCGTTTCTTCTTCTTTCCACCCCGATCTCTCCGATCTTTGTTTGGAGTTGGCTTTTTGGTGTTGAATTCATTTTCTTTCTCATTCTTGGATCGGCGCAGGACGAAGGCGCGATGGGGGCTGGTCAGGTGCTCGTGGAAATTCAGCCTCAAGAACTTAAGTTCGCATGTAAGTCTCGACGTGCGAATTTGTTGCTTGATGTTCTTGATCGGTTGGTAGGTTTAAGATTTTGAATTGTTGGTTTGCTGTAGCATTGATGAGATGCATAATTTGATCGGATGGATTACCATCTAAGCCAGCAAACTTGATTATAATGCTTGTGATGCTGCTTATCAAAAGATGTTTTTGCCTCCTCTTGATAAAAGAAATGGATCCCTATATGTTTCATTGATTGCATATATCAAATTGTATTAAGATCTGGTAGTGTTCCAGAATATTGTATAGTACCGTCTGGTAATACAGGGTGATTTTAGTTATGTTTACATCATGATCTCGTACCTCAGTTCTCATCTCAGCATGAAAAGTTGCTATTTGGAATGCGAAATGATGAAGGATAAGGGGGAAAAGTTAAGGGAATTATGCTATGGACTTAGAATTGATAGTGGTAAAATAATTCATTATCCAGAGCAAGAGCCAGGGGATGCAAAGCATGATACATGGGTTTTGTTTTTTATTTTTTTTATTTTTTGTTTTGTGGTGTGTTTGTATTTGCATGCTTCACTTGTGTTTATTGGTGTTCATTAGATAAAGATGCACATTCTTTCTGCTGCCAGGAGCTAGTGATATGATGCATCTCTTATAAAAAGTTACAGTAAGAACTGGTAGTTGTGTCACACTAGTATTGGATTTCATGAAAGTCATAGCTGCTATCCTGCTGAAGCTCAAACATGTTAGCAAGGAACAGTCATCCATCTCTCTCTTTCTTTTGGAATTTATTATGTAATTAACCTTCATATTATTCTTTCATTGGTTATGATTTGTTTGGTATTGTCTTCAACAGTCTGCTCATGCTTGGTAGTTTTGTAACTTCAATAATCTCAAAAGTTTATATTATACATTATATACCCCAGAAAATTTAACTGAATCTGTTGTTTAAAGCTTCAAATTCCTATTTTTGAACATCAATCTGAAAGTTATCTTAATTTTAAAGTTAACAAAATTTCTGATCTTATATATTGGTACTGACATGATGTCTTTTCTTTGTCTATTCTAGTTGAATTGAAGAAGCAGAGTTCGTGTTCTATTCAACTTGAAAATAAATCCAAAGATTATGTTGCTTTCAAGGTTAATGCTTCTCTACTCCTGTATGTCTTTAATTTAGAGATAACAACTTTTAGAGATGGGATGATAAGCTGTATGTTCTGTGTCCCAGTACAAATTGTATCTTGGAAATGTTATATTTGAAATAGCTTCTTCCCATTTCATTGATTTACAAGTACTTTTGTTAGATTAGTCACTGTTATCCACTGTATTCAAAGATTCTTTTGCACTCTTTTATGGTTTGCTCACACCAAATGTATCACTCGATAGCATCTGCTTCTTTTTTCTCTTTTACTTATCACCATATTGTGTTTTCAGCTTTGTTTTAACTTATTGCTACTTTCTATTATAAACTGCCCTTTGTTTAATTTGTTAAGCATCCTAACATCGGAAGCAATGTTCATCATCATTTTATTTGTCGACAGGCCAAATCATTTCCTTGATGCCAACTTGAAAATTGAAAAATATGTTGAAAATGGTCTAACGTGTTTTTCTTTGGAGCTACTTGTAACTGTGAACATTCTCTCTCCATTCTGTCATTCCATTTTACATATGAGTGGTCTATAATGGTAATTGATTTGACTGTTATCATATTGATTAGGTTAAAACCACATCTCCTAAAAGATACTGTGTGAGACCAAATATAGGCATCCTTCTGCCCAGATCAACATGTGACTTTACAGGTCTGCTGTCTCACTTCTATTTCATCATTTTAACTATGTATTATCCAGTATTGCTGATTTATGTTTGCCAGCTAGCTATTATGGTACACTTATAAAAGCTGCTATATATAATGCAGCTCCAGAAATAGATGATTATGGGTTCAAATTGGACACAGTGTGCTATCGGGAACTACTTAAAATGGACAGACTTCATGATAGGTTTAACATAAGGTTTAAAGCAATAAAATGGGCCAAATTTCCAACCGTTTTGAGTCAAGGAATTATAGGGACTGAGGTGGAGTAGGTTGGCATGATGAGCTTGAAGGCACTATTACATTTTTCAGCTTTTATGCATGTAGGAATGAGGATGGCCTTACATGCTACACCCCCATGCTAGTCAGCATACATGTCATTGATACAGTATGGTACAGAGTTATACTGACATATGTAACTAGAGAAGCCACAAGACAAGATCTTCTTAACTTTAAAATGGATGGATTAGGATTGTAACCTTTATCGTTATAAGTTGAACTAGTTTGATGAAAAACTTGGATAAAATAAAAGCTTTGTGGTATTGTTTTACCAGTCGATGACCTGGTTTTGTCATGTCTTATTCATAGGAAGTCCTGTAACTCAGTTCCCAGTACAGTTCTGTCTCCCATGTTTAGGACATTGCATAATCAATTGAATTGTTGAAGTATGTATTTAACTGAAAAGAAGACAAGAATAGATCAAGAAAGGAAAGCTTTGTAAAATATTTGTCTTTTTATCTAATCTTAGAAATGTTGGATAATCTTTTTTAGTTTGTTTTGTAAGTTACTTTAATTTATGCATTTGAAACAATGTAATAACTTATTATAGGCTAGTTGTTTGATGAATTTTGATTGTTATTTGAAGTTACATCTTGAAAAATTAAATCTATAAATTTTCAGCAACAATTAAATGATTATTAACAATACCATATAATATTTACAAGAATTTAAGTAAATTTGAAGATCTTGAGAAATTAAAATTATGTGTAATGCTTATACAACAACAACAAATCCATAAGTCTCAACTATTTGGGGATACTGATGATGAATCTGCATTGATTCTGGGCAAACAACTTTCTCTTTTTTGCTGGAATAAAACATTTGGTGATTGAAAACAATGTCATATAAACTAAATGGAAGATACAATCTAAAGCTGTTTTCTGACTGCTAAAGATAGCAAAAGAAGCATTTGATGCAACACCAAGAATGTAATAGTTCAATTGATCACTATGTAAGTTAAGATTGTATGGATCATTTTCTACCAAATTTCCTCAGTTAACCATGTATTTGTTAAAGTGCAGGTCCTAATACATAAAATTGTTGGCTTTATGTCTTGAAATTTTAAGTTCTCTTTCTTCATGTCACCAATAACATGATCTCATGTGCTTTCTTAATATCTGACAAAATTGGTGGAGGAGAATATTAGAAGGCCTTACAAGTTAGCACTGAAGTAAAATAAATGATTGAATTATGTGGATTTTATAATAGTTACTGTGTTTTGGATTAATGGGCATCTATTCTTTTGTTTATTTATATGATTATGCAATACCATTTTAGTCACTATGCAAGCACCAAAGGAAGCTCCACCTGATATGCAATTGAAAGATAAGTTCCTTGTTCAAAGCACGGTTGTTCCTTATGGCACTACTGATGAGGACATTGTACCAAGTTTTGTGAGTATCCATTAAAGTATTACATTTGAATTTGCAATATATTAGTTTATGTTTTGATAACCTCCGTTTCGGTTCAACAGTTCTCTAAAGAAAATGGAAGATATATCCAAGAGAACAAATTAAGAGTCGTTCTTGTAAGCCCTCCACATTCTCCAGCACTAGAGCCAATTAATGTGGCTTTAAGGCAGGAGCCAGCTAATGAAATTCCTGATTCGGCAGTAACTTGTATCCCCATTGATGGTGTTTCACAGCAAGAACCAGCTAATGAAGTTCCCATTTTGAGAAACATTTCTGTCTCAGATAATGTGTCTGTGAAACAGGAGCCTGTTCAAGAAATTACTATATCAAAAGACACTTCTATTCCAAATGAACAAGCATTGAGTGGTGTGGCTGAGATTACCCCATCTCATGTAAGACACTTCTATTCCTAGTATGATTCATGTTCCTATTAAACCGTAGAAAGCTTACTTGAGCTAATAAATAGAATTTTGATCTTCTAAATTTCTTGAGTTTGGAAACAGATGTTTAATCGTGGTGCACATATACCAACACCATGGTGTCATTTGCTCTATATTGGGATTAGGCTTGATATAATTTGCATTCTCAATGTTGACATGGTCTTTGTATACATGATATTATTATTCTGTCCCTTTATTTCATGGAGATAGTTAACCTGGCTGATGTTTGTTTAGGTTGGTAAAGATATTGATGACTTGAAGTTGAAGCTCAACAATATTGAAGTTAAACTGAATGAGGTTAGTTAAATTTAATACATATGTGGCTATATTTCCAGTTTTAATGCTATTTGTGGTATCTGTTACTGCATCAGATAGCTATCCTCTGTTATTAGTACCTATCCATTATGCCACATGCTAAACTTCACTTATCTCCCATTACATGATTTAGCAAGCAGCCTTTCTCAGAATATAGTTATTCTTTGGTTCTTGATGTTGTAACTAGCAATTGAGAAAAATCAAGATGTGATGTCTTAATGAAAATTGGTTGTGTACTGAACTATTTTAGACCATAAAAAATTATGCTTACCTTTATGTTCCTCTGAAAATTAAAAATTGGTCCATCTATATGGGTTTAGTGTGTGCAGAAAATGGATTCTCTGAATTACATCAGTACATTATTATTAGAAACTTACTTTGATTTTTGTCTATACATCCTGTTCTTTTAGGAAACAATTTTTTATAATAATTATTATAGTCTAAGGAATGGAAACATTTTTGTAGGCTGAGAAGACAATAATGAGCCTGAGGAAAGAGAACAGTGCAGCAGTACAGGAGAGCGAGAAGTTACAACAGGAAATTGTGAGTTTACCCTTTGTGGAAACAAATTTATGAGTCATGCTGCTTATAAATATAGGAGAGCCATTAAGCTTAAATATTGTACACAATTTTCTTAGATATATGCAGGCAAGCAACTAATGCCTTCTTGATGCTGCAAAACTCATCATAGATTAGATCATCTCTATAAATGTACATTTATTTTGTCTTCTTTCTCTTCACAATCATGCTTATTAAAAGTCTATCCAGGTTAGCAACAGATAATCTCTCTTCTGACGATCTCCAATCTCCTATTTGGTAGATAACTTTGGCTTCCCTTACCTATTGGCATTTCTTTCTCCTAACCTACTGAAATTGGCAGAACCACATTCTGATAGAGCATGCTTGTTGAGCCACAACATCTTTTCGTCCTAACCCATTGATGATGAGATGCATGGACATAGTGTTATAAGTTTGAAATTGGCTACCTGCATCAGCTATATGCATGCAATTTCAACATGCATTGGGCCATTTGCATTCTTGGAGGATCATCAAGAATTTTAAAGTTTGTCTTGTGGCTGTTGATCAGCAACAATTAGCAGTCATTTTGATACATCATGTTCTGCGGTAAATCTGCCGTCACTTTTTTCTGGTCTACCATTAATCAGTGGTACCATTTTCTTGTTTCAGGCCTTGCTGAGGAAGAAAAGTGCTGTTAGAATTCAGGCTGGTTTTCCATTTTTGTTTGTTGTCTTTCTGGCACTTGTTGGCATGACACTTGGATATCTTTTGCACTCATGAAACCCATGTCAAAGCTCAAGCCTGAATAAGTAGCATCAGGGCTAGAAACTATAATTCATAGAAATAATCGCTGGTGTCCGCAATGTTGAATATCAAATATCTGTGTTAGTTTTTTTTCTAGGGCTAAGCTCTGTCCATGTGTATGACCTGTATGCTTGTAAAATGACAAATTTTATACTGTGTACAAAAATAAAACTCTTACCATGCCACCATCCTGATCTGCTTCATATGACTATTTCCCGGTCTTAATTCTTGTATGCATATATGCATTTACTAATACAATTTTGCAAAAATATGCTGACTTTTGGGTATTCTGTTTTTCCAATATTTAAATATCCTTTCTGAGTTGATTTCTGAGGAATCAACAAAAATAGTAGAAAATTTGAAGCAGCACTTGAATCATGCTGTTAGGTTAGTAGCATAACATGTCTTCTTCCTATGATTCTGTCGATCTTTGGATTAGAAACAAGATGGAACAACAAAGGCTTCAATCAAGCTTACTATGATTTATGATGATCGAGGCTGGCGCTCAGAGCATCTTGATGATCCTTGTTAGCATCTCTTTATTTTGTTCATGTTGAAACAAAAAAAAAAGGGACATAATTATTTGCTCATTTTATAAGAAAGTGCAAAGTCTAATTACAAGCATAGGGTCGTTGGATCATTTGTAGGTCTAATTGGTCATTCGATGAAAACATATACTACAAACAAAAATTTTAAATATTGATAATTACATCTACAGATTTTAAAAATATTTTCTTGTAATAATTATCCTTTTTCTTTATCCGATCGATCAACCATTAGGTTTTTGTTTTTTTACAGAAAATTGGACCGACTGATTAAATCCGGTGTCAATAACTGTAGTTACCATTATGCATTCACTTTCTCACTCATGACTTTTTTCTTTCTGAGCTCCCCACCCACCCATGGGACCTTTACGACCAAATTCCCATGACATCTTTGAACTTTACCGTGCCCTGCATCTACTCTGCTTCATTTGCTTTTCCTTCTTCCCATGTCACGCGCATTGCAGTTATAAATCATGATCATAAGTTTTTCTTTGCCCGTGATTCCCATCCATATCATTTTCGCTGCCAAACCTTGGGACAGTCGGCAAGTAAATAAATAAGAAAGCATTGCATCAAACCAGATTCAATTTTTGGAAATTTATTCATCCATTTGAGAGAGGAGAGAGAGAAGAGAGAGAGAGTATCTAACAGGCAGATCTACATAATGAGTGATTATGAAGTGCAGAAGGTGCAGCAAAACTTCAAGCACACAGGAAAAAAGAATTTAATCCAAGAAAAGAGATTGTTGGAGTGTGGAGACTATTATAGTTGAGATTCTATAGTAGTATGGCTTTGCAGTAGTACTTGTGTGATCTGTCTGAGGACCATCCTGTTGTCATATGTGGTAGGGAGCCATCAGAGAGGGAGAGCTATCCACCCTTTTCACATGAATCCTCACATGCATGTTCAATATTATATCTTCTTATTTGAAACAATCTTTGTCCGTAATTATGTCAATTGAGGTATCCAAGTCCAACTGGTAGATCCATTTGCAGCAATTCAATCCTAGACACATCCAACCTGGTTAACCATTATACTTCCTCGTAGAGATAAACCTAAAAGAAATATTATTTTTGTGACTCGAATCCTAATCACCAAAATCATATAGAAAAACAGGACGATTATCATCGATATAATGGTTCGGTCGACTTCATCGAGCAATCTTTAATGGATTATGCAAACTGAATCAGGTTAGCTTGCTCAGATGGTCAGTTCATCATATCACTCTGCTTGTCAATTGCTGGCATTTACCTTCTGCCTAAACTAACAAGACCGGTAAATTATTCCTTTAAAGCTTCTTACCTGACAGGTAGAAAAGAAATCAGTAATGCAGAGTAACAGTTCCTTAGTCTGCTGCCTCTCTTGAGATCAGCTTGGAGCAACATATGTCATGTTACTGAATGAACTCAGTACCAAGACATAACAGCCTGTCTAGTACTGATCTCCAGTCATCATCATCTTCTTCTTCCTCTGAACGTGATAAGGGAGACTCTTTTGTTTCTCACATGATAAGGCAGGTGTGGGACAGATCACTTATACAAGTACTACCAACATTGCATCATGCAATGAAATGGTTTCTGACCAATATTGGCAATCACTATCCACATTGGCTTTGTCTTGTAACACAACCTAATGAGTGAACTATGTGATATGACTCATGGATAATCTGTAGGTACACTTGATTGAAATCTTCAATGATTCTGCAAAGCCTCATGAAGCAAAGACTGCAATTTGACAAGCCATACAAAAGGCAGGAAACACAAGGTTTGACAACTTCAATAGTCATTCAACATATAGCAACAAACATGGACTTTTTCTTAGTCTATTTTGCTTGTGTAAATGTATGAAACTTCATCTTAACCACCAATATGAACTAGTATTGAATTAGTGTAAAGCAAAGCAGTAATGTCCAGTGATTGCATGTGGTACAGATCTGAAGAGCACATGAAATCACATTCAAGGAATTGGTAGCATGTTCCCACATCACACCTACAACCTAGTGGAGGGGGCAGGGGTGGCAAGACTATAACCTCTCTCTCTCTCTCTCTCTATGTATATAAAATATAAATATATCATGAATGCTGGCTGCACTTATGAAATTGTGCTCCTACTCACATAGGAATCAGATTCCCACATCTACTTATATGGTTCATTCTATAACAAGTTTCTTCCAACTTCTTCATGATTTTCTTTTTTGTGTTTTTAATAGTTACAGAGCAAGAGCAATGATGTAAAGCTGAGCATTCATCTAAAGTAGAATGCTGGTGTTTAAGGATGGATTTCTTGAGTGGATATTGGGGTCTTGTCATGATGAACACAAGCACCATTCTCTTTAGTGCTATGCTCATAGTCTAAGACTATGATCAGAGCCTCTCAATTGTCACAGCTTTTTCTTACTTAAACCCTGTAGTCTTTGCTGGCTGTCATCATGTCCATCACCAGTGAGACTTAAGCCATCATCTTCTCTTCATTCTCCATCATTGTCCTTTTTTTCAGCACATAATCCTCATTTTTTCCCTTATCTATTAGTTTGATTTAATGATTAATGTATAGTTTTAACAACAGCAACATAAAGATGTGATGTCCCAAATCTTCAGGGTTAACTATAGGGAACTTTTAACCTTGGTTAGCTTTAAAGGATGCTAAACACTCCAGGCTTTCCTGTGATTTAGTGACAGTGATGGGGTGACTGATTTCCACTAGTTCAGTACATACATGAATCTTTGGCCCCCTGTTGCCTTGTTCTTGACTTCAAAAGTGTGTCTCCTTCAAAACTTGTTTATTGTCCCTGCAATCTACTTTTCTACCAAAAAAGGTCTCGAGAGATACCATGGTATCCTCTTCTTGCTACTGCTTTCAATTGCTATGTGGTGTTTGAGTCTTACAGGTCCTTTTTCTTGCCTTTTCTTTCTTTTTTCCTTCTTTTGTTTTCCTCATCTAATGCATCATTCCATGGTGGAAGCCAAAAGACCAAATGTTTTATGTTGCAAATGCCAATAAACTCCTTTTTTCATGTTGCCAATAATGTTTTATATTTGGATATTGTTGCCAATAATGTTGATTTTAGATTAATCAATCTTGATCTAAATCCTAATCCAAGCTAAATTATAGAAATATAGAACTATATTGGGTTTTAAATGGAGAAATAAGTTTAAACTCCTGTCATGTTTACTAATTTAAGTTGTATAAGTCAGTAACATAGCAATTAGACTCCGATGAACCCTAATTTTCTTGTTGAGTTAATACTTTGCAATCATAATTCCATTAAATCTATTCATTTAATATATATATATATATATCTATATATATTCTCAATATTATAATTAAGTCATGTATTTTAAGGACACACATCAATAGAATTCTTCTCAGCCAGCATTGGCCGAGAGTATCGGATCTCAACCGATTTCATGCAATCCCAAACCAGCAAACATGATATGTTCACTAATCATATGTTACCACGTGCCAATATGAGTACATTGTACTTCGCATCGTATGCGTTCGTTTCCGCCGAGGGCGATATATATGAACGCTGCTCTCGATCTCCGAGCTCTCTCCAATATTCCTCAGGATTCCCGTCGGGATTGTGAACCCTCGAGCTCTTCGATCGACAACCAGCGGTCGCGTTCGTTCCCCGCGAGGTTTCCGCTCGTAAAGCTGTCTCCTTTCTGGTTTTTCCTGGCATTTTCGCAAAAAAAAACCCACATTTTTCCCGATTTAGAGTCTTTTTTCGGTATTTGCGGGCTGAGATGTCTCCGCTGTGGGCACCTCGGAGACGTGAACCACCCGGCTCCCCTCCATTCCGTCTAATTTTAGCTCAATTGTTTGCTTGGTGTTAGTCCGTTTGTTTCCTAGTAAGAAGGAGGAGGAGAGGGGGAGGAGTGCCATCAGCCATGGCGTTTGGCTTGGTGGCGCAGCAGCTCGTGCGCCTGGGGATATTGTCGACATCGGACCATGCCTCGGTGGTCTCCATCAACCTCTTTGTGGCGCTGCTATGCGGATGCATCGTGATCGGGCACCTCCTCGAGGAGAGCCGCTGGATCAACGAGTCCATCACCGCCCTCGTCATAGTGAGTTCCCTTTTTTCTTCCTGGCCTGCCTGTTGGTAAAGCTCGAATCTTTCTTTTGCTTTGGGCTCGGAGGAATTGGGTTGATTCCATTGTGTTGGTTCTTCTGCTGGTCCAGGGAGTTTGCACGGGGGTCGTCATCCTGCTGACGACAAAGGGGAAGAGCTCGCACATTTTCGTGTTCAGCGAAGACCTCTTCTTTATCTACCTTCTCCCGCCTATTATATTCAATGCCGGGTAAGCTTTTGTGGGCTGTTTGGTATTGGATATTTTAGTTTTTGGTTTATGAGCTCTATGCTTTATTTTTCTCTGATTATTATGGCACAGTGTGTGACTTTAGTGGTTTCCCTTCGTGTTTCTATCATCCTCCTTGACATTTGGGTTCAAGGCAGGAAAATTTCATTCTTATTACTTGTAGCTCATGGACTTTCAGCTATTTGTCTCCGGCAGAATCTTCACTCTTGCATCTTTCGCATAAAATTAGATATCTGACAGATGCACATGGGATATTTAAGTTGGTTTATTTCTGCCGTATTAATTGGTGGGACATGGTGCTTCATAAGAAATAACTTGTCTAAAATATCTTGTTTGTTTTTGGTCGAAAATTGATATCGAACGCATGTATGAAAGAGAGCACCTTGTTGGCAACTGAAAAAAAATCATTATTTTCTTTGATCTGGTGAAAAATCTTAAAGAAAGTATATGCTAAATACATTTCTGAAATGTGCCAAAATCATTGTCTTTGAGGTGTCAAAATAGCTATTGCTGGCAAAGTCTATTGTTTGCTCAGACTGCTAATCTGATTTAAAATTCATACAAGAAAAAAGGGGATAATTTTGATACCATTTTTTTCCAAGCCCATCCCCCAGTTAGATTTAAGAACAAGCCTATGGTACTTCCTTTGCAAGTTTTATCATAAGGGGAAAATATGTGAAGGTCTGGTTAATATTTTGACAGATTGTCAAAATTTTCTTGATGCGACTTAATAAATGCAGTTATGCAATTCCAAGGCAGCTCTGTTGAGTATTAATTATGCTATTATCACTTAAAGAAGTGGAAGCAATCTCTGCTCAATCTTTTGACAGAGTAACATAAATTTTTGATTTTTTTTTTCGAAAATAAAAGCTGATTCATTACTTAGAAAAATGAGAACAACCTGTGCCCTGGAGGTCAGCACACAAAAAAAAGGGTAAAAAGAAGCAGGCCATGCCTGCCTCCATACAAAATTTGACTTAGTCACTCTGGCATGGTTTGCAAGCCAAATAGCACATTTGTTGCCTTCCCGGTAAATATGAGAGATTTTAGCAAAGACATTAACAAAAAAATAATGTCCTGAACCAAATGATGGCCATTCCATGGAGGATCATGGTTGTCTTGTAAAATATTCACCACAGAAAGTGCATCCATTTCCAAGAATTGAACTCGGGACCTCTCACACCCTAAGCGAGAATCATACCACTAGACTCTGCTCTGTTGTTTTTGACTTAATAACTGTAGTTAAGCAATTCTGACTCTGCTCTGTCGATTATTATTATGCAGTGATAAGTTTAAGAAGCTGAAATAATCTCTGTTATTGGCACAGTTAATGATAGATATTCAAAGACTGTCTATAAATATGATACATAATATAGTTATCTATGTGCTTCATGCTTTGGAATGACAGATCTGAAGCATCTAAGGCTTGATATCAGCTATTGTAACTTTACTACAACCAGGAAATGAATGCAAAGAATTTTATTTGTTGCTCAACACAAGAAGGGATAACTTGTATAGAATGATATGGTTATATGTTAGAAGTATCTCTGTTTTATTAGAATATTTAACTAAAAAAGATTGCTTTCAGTGAAGATTCTTTCAACAGATAACATTTGAAGTAGATAAACATGGAATTTGTCCACTCTTCCCCAACATTATGGAACATGTTCTCTCAGTTGAATTGTTATCTCCATAGAAGTTGTTGTGCATGTACATTGGTGATCCTATAAAGGTTCGTGTAAGCCAAGTGAGCAAAATGACTAGCATTTTCTCTTAGATTGTGCTATTGAATGGGAGTTATAAGGGAATAATTAATACTTTGATTAGTAAAATCGAACTTCTGTGGCATGATGAAAGGGGGTTGCTTTGGTTCAGATCTCTATCATGCTAACTACTTATTTCTCATCATGTGTCATGCTGTCAATATTTTCCATGGGATATCTGCTGAAAATTTTCCTTGCTACCAGTATGGTTTCCTTCTTATGTTGATAAGTATTGATTGTTTTGGACACTGAATGACAGCTTGATTTTTCTTTACTGCCAGGTTCCAAGTAAAAAAGAAACAATTTTTCCGCAACTTCATGACAATCATGCTATTTGGTGCAGTTGGGACATTAATTTCCTTTTTCATAATTTCCTTTGGTAAGTTATTGGAGTCACTAGTGCAATTTATCTCTTATGAAAATCCAAAGTTTGAAAATTAATATAAAATTATGCAATTGTATGCTTCTGTATAATAAAAGTTTCCCTGTCTCAAGCAATAATCAAAAAGCTTTTTGTTGATACTTTCTATTTCTGCAAGATCTCCTTTGTCGTGTTTGTCAAAATGTCCATCAGCTTTTTTAAACAAGAATGTGATAGTTGCAAAGTGTTCAATATGGATGACATTTATATTTTTGTGGACTAATAGAAATAATTCAGACATACTGAGTACTGGAACTCATAAGGAATACAAGTGGGCCAGAAGTGGTCTTGAGGATTTACCAAAATTTTATAGGATCAGTCAAAAAACCCAGCCCAAACAGTAGAAAAGAAAAAAAATTTATTGTAGGAACTATAAATGACAAGAAATGTGCCAAAAAGGATAATGTAGTGCCTGAAGTGATTTATGAAAAATAATAATTATCTATGAATCACTTTTGTATTGTGAAATCTGATAGTGGAACAATTTCATTGGAAAATTCGTCATGCATCTTCCAAAACATCATTTTTGTTTTTACATTTCAATCTATCATCAGTGGGATTTTGTATTTGTATGCAATAATACAATGAAGCATCAGGTGTGCTATCGGTTAGTTCTGTTGACAACTACCTGGGTAAGTTTACAAATTCCTTAATGAAGGTTCATTTTTTACTTGTTGACAAGGAAATTTTCGCCATTTCAAGCTCTCAAACTATCATTTCAGAGTTTTCATTTATACTGATGCATGCCATAGACCATTGGATGCTAGGGGCCTCAGATTATCCAGTTAGCAACTGTGATTTTGGCGCCTATACAGGAGTCCAGTTGGTTCTGAATAATTTTGTTTCTTCTTATGTTTTCTAATTTTAATATGCTTCTTTTGTCTTCTTCTGACTCTCTTTGATGCTGACACAGGGGCAATTGAATTATTCAGAAAAATGGATATTGGTTCATTGGACATTGGCGATTTCCTTGGTAAATTGTTCTATTATACCACATGTCTTTATCCCCTTTTAGATTTGTTATATGATCCATGTCTTTGAATATGCACCAACGTTTTATTCTCATGTATTTTTGTTCTGTTGTTCATGCAGCAATAGGGGCAATCTTTTCTGCAACCGATTCTGTCTGTACCTTGCAGGTATTGTAAAAGTTCTGGAGTAATTTGTTTATTCTGCCTTATCAGAGTAACAAATCAATCTACCCATGGTCTGTCTTGCATAACAGGTTCTTAATCAAGATGAAACACCATTATTGTATAGCTTGGTATTTGGCGAAGGAGTTGTCAATGATGCCACATCGGTGGTACTTTTCAATGCAATTCAGAATTTTGATCTTGTTCATATTGATGCCATCATCATATTGAAGTTTGTGGGAAACTTTGGATATCTATTTCTCAGCAGCACCCTCCTTGGAGCGTTTGTAAGTTCTGTAATTTCTACTTGTTACTAGTTCTTATCTGCATGGTTTGCCGTACCGAACAGTACCGCCCGGTACGGGCGGTACGTACCGGTCCGACAGACTTTCGGTACGCGGACCGCCTCTTACCGTTCCGGTACTGCAGCAGTACTGTAGCACTGTAGCACTGCTACAGTGCTCGGCACACCCGGGTGTACCGCTCGGTACACCTCGGTATACCGGTCGGTACACCCGTACCGTACCGTACCGAGTGCGGGTCGAAACGCCGGTACGGTACGGTACGGCGAACCTTGCTTATCTGTACTTGTAAATGTATTGATTTTTTTTTACCTGTAGATTTTTGCTCTGTTAATTGCAGGGTGGATTGCTAAGTGCTTACATCATCAAGAAATTGTACATTGGAAGGTTTGTTGAAGAACTAACTGTATAGGTGTCATATGTAATGTATTTTGCTATAGATTCCATTTAGCTAAATAATGCATAGGAACAATCATTGGACGACATTTTTTAACATAGTTTTCTGGAATTTAAAGAGTTGATATATCTTTTCTTTTTCACTTCCCAGACATTCTACCGATCGTGAAGTTGCACTTATGATACTCATGGCATACCTTTCCTATATGCTAGCTGAAGTGAGATGCTTCTCTTAAATCTTGAAACAAGTCTTTTATAACCTAAATACAGAATATATAACTATACATTGAGTTGATCATGTTCTTAAAGCATTGTTTTGTCTTGCAGTTGTTAAATTTAAGTGGTATACTCACAGTATTTTTCTGTGGGATAGTTATGTCACACTATACCTGGCATAATGTGACAGAAAGCTCAAGAGTTACTACCAAGTATGTTGGTTTTTTCAATGTGTCTAAGTTGATGAATTGCTGTTTCTCTTGTTAAATCTACTTCTGAAGCATCTGATCATCCAATACATTCTACTAATTTATCTCTCTTCCTTTTCCCCCATTTCTTTTGATTCCAGGCATGCCTTTGCCACACTGTCATTTATTGCTGAGACTTTTCTCTTTCTTTATGTTGGAATGGATGCATTAGACATTGAAAAATGGAGGTTTGTCAGTGACAGGTATAACATATTATTCTTCTTTCAGCTGCAGGTCCCTTTCCTATGATAGATTTAATGCTTATGCTGCTGATTCACAACTAAATATGCTAACTAATGGCCTTTATTTCTTGAAAATTCACTTGGATGGTTATCTTAGGTGCCAAATTTTCATTGCGGAATGGCATATATTTCAATTAGTTAATAAGCTTCCATGATTTTCCTTTTTCTGTGCTTGAAGTTGTTGCTATACCGCCCATATAGCACATGTTTAAAGTTTTGGCTCTACAAGTTATTTAGAACATCATCTGTTGTCTGCTTACTAGCCTACCATATTCTAGCTCTAAAAAAGGTTCCAGTGTGGGATATTACATAGATGGAGTTAAAGTTATCATGTCTTCTTATGATGGCTCAGCAAATTATTTATTAATGTCATTATGTGGTCAGAATTAGGCAACACACCAACCAGTACCCAACACAAACACATAGGGTTAATGCGTCATATGAATGTCCTGGGACCCACTTATTTTGTTAAGTCAAATGCTAGCAAAGGCCTGTTGGTGTCTCTGGGTCCACTTTTAGATTGAGTCCTCACAATCAAAAAAATAAATAAATAAATACATGACAACCTTATGAGTCTAATTGGCTTTGATAACAAATGCTCCTCTGTGCGTTGGTCCAGTTTAATGAGATGAGGCAACAAAATGATGGAAACAAACTAAAAATGTATATAATATTTGTTAAAAATACATTGTGGACACGAAAAATATTGTCAGTTTCACTATAAAAAGCCAGGAGGATATAATAAGTATCATGTGTTACTCTGATTAACACATCGGGTAAAATCAGTTCCAGATCACCTCAGATATGCAGCATGCTTACTACTAAATTTGAGGTCGGCCCAAGAATTTTCAACCCTACTATAGTCTATGAGGTTAAGGTTGGCATTACAACCCTATTATAGGGTATCATCCACTTATTCCTTAGCTTCTATGGTCAACTGCATTTCAATCACATTTTCTCTTTGATCCAACTAAAAGCGATCTAAAAACAATGATAGTATAATAGTGTTCTTTGCCAAACTGAGACATCAGTCTATCTGCTTACCTGCTTACCATGCCTATCTTATGAGCTGACCACCAATTAATGCATATTTCAGCGATAACCTAGGGAATGCCTACATGGTGCTTATAGTATAATTTTATTCATTTACTAACTGCAGTTACTTTGGTCATCTTGCAGCCAAGTTATCTATCTCTACTGGCATTTTTGCCCATTAACATCTTTTAGGCATCTTTTCTTTGACATACTATATGAAGCACGCTATAAGATGTAAAGTTACACTATCTTGAGCTAAAACTTAAGATGCATAGAAAACAGCTGAGATTTGACTTGTAGATTATGCACTATGCACTTAAATGGACCATCAGTCAATTATGAGAATAATGTTTCCTGTATTATATATAGTTTGAAAGAATAACAGCATGTCCAAATGTACATTAGGACCAGTGTGCTTAAATTAGTCCCTGCAATATTTTTTAAGCATCTTACTAGATGAATACAGTTCACGTTATCGCAAGTTGATCTTTGTATGAAGCCTGGATATCTCTGTTTTCAATTCTGGGTAATTTTGATTGCTTATCATTTTTAATTATCAGATCTCTTATTTTAGGTGATCCGAATATGTACTGAACTAGCATAATTTGCAGCTTTTCATGTAGTTAATATTACTTGCTTTCAGTCTGCTTTCTTCTCTGACTGAGAACTGATGTGTGTTATAAGGCCTTTGATGTTCACTTAACTATATTTTTGTTATTCATGAATTTCTGTTTCCTTTGCAGCCCTGGAAAATCACTTCGTGTTAGCTCCATCCTTTTGGGCTTGGTTTTGGTTGGCAGAGCTGCTTTTGTTTTTCCACTCTCATTCCTATCGAACTTAACAAAGAAGTCTACAGATGAGAAAATTATCTTCAAGCAACAAGTGAGCACAAAAAAATCATGTTCACTATATTTGTTCTGGACTGTTATATTAAAAAACTCATGCAAATTCTTTTGACAGGTTACAATATGGTGGGCAGGTCTCATGAGAGGTGCAGTGTCAATAGCCCTTGCTTACAATCAGGTGAAATACAATGCACATTTGATGTCGAGTTTGATTTTAATCGAAGTTTCATTTGAGACCATAAATTTTAAACAAGGGCTCTGACTTCTTAAATACACGCACCAGATTCCTAATTGAATAGAAAAATGGAGAGCTTATATTTGCATTTCAACTGAAATAGTGATGCCTTTTAGTATATGATAGCACTATAAGAGCTGCAATTGCTTGTACAAAAAATGGCCCCACATATTAAGGGGGATTGCCAAAGGAGAGAATAACAAATAGCTTATCCATATCTTCTCACCATCACAGGCAAATGGTCAGCAATTTTCTATTTGCTTACATAAAGCTAATTATAAAAATCAAAGTTTCCAAAATCTTCAAGATTGTTCTTTGCATAATTTACCACACTATGTATCTCCAATTTTTGATAAAATCCTTTTGCATGAGTTGTTATTTTTTTCAAATTATTATTTTTTATTTTGTATAATCAAGTTTTTTATCTGCATGTTTTGGAATTTTATGTATATATATATATATATATATATATATATATATATATATATATATATATATATATATATATTATA